TTCATAATAAGTGAAAATTGTCTCAACAATATAGTCCATGGCGTTCAGGACCGTAGTTCTCATAAAATATATTGTCGCACCCATATTCATATAGAAATATCATATTCGTGTTAAATTATAGAGTGAATAGATCAAACTTGTCCAAATAAAGTAATAGAAAGAAAAATAAAAGAAAGTGAATATAAAGGTATATCTACATATATGTATATTCTGTCATTGATGTACAAGAAAGGGTGAGGCATATTTTGGTTAAAAAAAAAAGAGTGAATTAAACATACATAAAAGTATGTATTTTATTTCAATACTTTCCGAGATATAATGTTTGACCCAAAAAATGGCTCAGAAAGGGTACACTTTTTTGTTGCTGCTGTTGTAGATCTCAAAAATAATAATAATATAGACATATATGTATATTGTGTGTGTGTGTGTGTTGATTTTTTTTTATAAAAATAAATGCCTCTTATTACCGAGGTACCGAATTTGGCTTACAGAAAGAAAGAAAAAGTCTCTTGAGGTACAACAGAATAATCAGATAATATATTAAATCCAAAAAGCGACATTGCATTTTCAAGAATGGTATTTTTCTTGGTACTTAAGAAATATTTATTTTAATGTATATATATATATGGCTTATCTGGACGTATTCTTTGGAATTATATAGTGCATACTCTACATGAGCATGGTAAATATTTTGCTTGGATATTCAATGAACAGTAAGAAGAAAAAAAGTCAAAAGTCCAGATATATATATATATCATGAACTCTTCATACAACTTTGATTTGATTTGATCTGATCTGATTTGATCTGGGCATTTAATGTTTATTGATACTAAACAAAAGAAGTACGACGAATAATACTTTATTTCCTTTTTATCTTTTGGGGGTGAGATCCTCTTGTCTCACGAATGTAGTCTATCTTTTTTCCTCTTTAGAATCTAACAATATATATATGTTTATTTGTTGGCCATATTGTACTTTGTAGAGGATAAGATTACTTATCTATATTTTCAGTTTTAATAGCCTATACAGCTAATTTAACACTACTGAATCTTTACTAGAAAAGAATTTAGGCATCTAATTAAATAAAAATTTGTATTCATAGTCAATATAACATACACATATACACATACACACAAAAACTATCTATCTATCTATAGTCTAGATAAGGCAGTATCCAAGGATATATATTGATCTATATATTGGTATTGGTATATAAATAGACTTTGACTAAATTGACTATTGAATACAAATCAGCTATTGGACATTATTTTTAAACACTTCTATTGTTCCTGTAATTGTTTTTTTTTAAAATTATTATTATTATTCTCAATCTCTTTTATGATATAATGCAATTTTTAGACCAATCTATATATATAAATATATAAAAGAGTATTAGCATTATCCTTTAAAGGTTTAGTTTAATGTTATGTAAAGCAAAGTGATTGGTTAAATAAAACCTTCAAAAGTCTAAAATAAAATAAAAAAAACAAATATGATACTAATAACCAAATAACAAATTTCTATTGGCTAAAAAAGAAGTTACAAAGCGCGTAACGTAGCAACCATTTCTGAAATGTCGGCTGTTAAAAAACGTCATTTTTTTCATGTAGTGTTACACGCGAAATATATTTTCTGCGAGTCAAATTCAGTTACCTCGGTAACAAGAGGCCTTTTTTTTAAAAAAAAAAAAAGAAAGAAAGAAAGAAAAAATCAACGCACACAGTATATATATATAGTAAATATTCTTATTCATTTTTTTTTGAGATCTACGACAGCAACAAAAAATTGTACCCTTTCTAAGCCCTTTCTTGGTTCAGACATTATAGTCCAGAAAGTATCAAAATAAGATAAATTCAGGAATATCACAACTGTATTAAAAAAAACCTGTCGTTTTATAGACACATTATCATGTATGTTTAATTCACTTTTTTCTTTTTTTGAACCAAAATATGCCTCACCCTTTCTTGTACATCAATGACAAAATATACATATATGTATATATATCTTTCTACTCACATTCTTCTATTTATCTTTATATTACTTTATTTAGGAAAGTTTCATCTATTCACTCTTTTGTTTTATATATATATCAGGTACACGTGAACTGTGTAGGATCTACGTTGCTTAGCACCAAAAAAAAGATTAACAAACATACATACCTACACCAATTATCTGCATTGATTCTAAAGTAAAAAAAATTTAATATATATTTTGCTTTATTTTACACTCCATTAAAGATCACCTGTCAAAAGTCAAGAGAATAAATTTCAACATGATGATAAAATAAGAATAGTTGTTGCTGTTGTTGTACTTATATATTGCAGTTCAGATTATTATTTTTAAATAACCAGTTTTACTATGATGTTTCGATTGTTAAAGCACTTGAATGATTAGCTGTGGCACCTTTTTGTTAGATTCACTGTACAATGCAAATAATACAAATAGTAAAAAAAAAAAGATTTTAATAGCAGTTTAGAATGGTAATGCTATAATGATGAAAATGAAGATAACAAAACATACAGAAAAGATTGAATTGAACCAGTAATATATAGATATATAAAACTGTGTGGAGAAAATTGTGGTTCAGATATTAAAGCAGAAGATCACAAGAGTAATATTTGTCCTTTGTCGTTTAAAATTATTGTTATTATTGTTATTTATCTATCTATATTATATAACAAAAAGCGCTAGAATATATTTAGTGGATTGTTATTATTATTATTATTATTATTTTTTAAAAAAAAACTACTAAGCATAGATGACGAAGAACGAGGCTAGGGGGTTGTAGTGGAACTGGAAGGGATAATCTATTTTATCTCTATATATTGCAAGGAGAGAGCAAACCAAAAACCAACACAAAGAGGTAAGGGGAAGTGAAGGGGTAGGTTAGAAATTCATACTTTTTTTCTTTTTATATATCTATAAAAAGTATATAAGATGTTATATTTCTACTTCTTTAACCTTTTTATTCCTTTTTCTTATTTTCTTCTGAATTACGTTGGCATGGCAACAACAGATAAACCATAACTTTATACAACGTGGTCATGTCACTTTTGACTTTATTCAATTTTTTTTTTAAAAAATTAATTCTATTTTCTTGTACTAGAGAGACAGAGAGAGAGTAATGTACAAAAAAAATGAAACAGAAACTAATAATTGGGCTGTCGTAAGCATGGACCTAATAAGGTCTTTATTGTCATGTCTATTTCCCCACCAATTTTTTTGTAATATGCCTAGATACATAAATACATAAATATATAATACACAAAAATGTAATTTCTTTTTGCCCGCTCCGACAAAAGAAAAGGAATAAAATACAATACAGTACAGTACAATATAATAATCTGTATGGGTAAAACCAGTATCCGTAATCTCCGTTGTCTTACTGAACATCTAACAATTAAATAACCAAAGAGACCAAAAAACTATAAGGCAAAACCAAAGGAACCAAGACTAACAGGTATCGACCCAACCCCAAAGGAGATGATGGAGCCTGCCACGTTTTTTTAGAGTATGAGCTTTCTATATATAAAAGCCTCCTCTTTTCCCCCCCTACTTGTTTTTGAACTTGACATGTTCTTCTTGCTCTTCTTGTTCTTTACATTCTTTTAAAAGAATTTTATTTTTTTTATATAGATTATAATTATAATTTATTTAAGTAATAAAAAAAATTGAACCCCATTTTGAGATTTATATATTATAAAAAATAAAATAAAGACAAAGAGAGAGAAAGAAGCTGTTACACGCAACTCAGATTTTACTGTGGTTCAATACTACAACAGAAAGCGAGGAAAGCAAAAAAGCTCAAGCCTTCTTTTTTTCATAATTGTGTTTGAAAATGATAATAATTCATAATTAAATAGTACTTTTTATTTTTATTTTAATACTGTAGTAGGAGTACAGCATTGACAATGACATCAGAATAATACTATTATTATTTTTATATTTAATAAACAAATAAATAAAAAGAGTAGATGAATAAAGAGAGAGAGAGAGATGTACTAATTACACATCAGATTTACAGACCAAAAAATAAATCACGCCTAAATTAAATATTACTATCTATACACTCTATACACAGCTACTGCTATTTCCAACTAGATAAAGGAAAAAAGAAAGCTTTTGCCAAGAATGTGTATCATTTAATAATAAGAATGATAGTGGCAAGTGCACAGACAAGAACAATGAATGCACTATTTGTTTGTTGCTCTTACTGTTACTGCTTTTATATTACTTTTGAGTTTGGCCTCATAATTATGCTATATATATATATATATATATATATGATTTACATAATTAAAACTATAGAGAAAATACATGGTGGTAGTAAGAGTGATTGTAACGGTAATAGTAATAATAATAGTAGTAATAATAAACGTTTCCATCAAGGGTAAATAGGCTCAGGGACTTTTTTAGTATTTAAAACTCAAAACAAAATTTAGAAAAATGGTGAAGATCCATATATGTTTCAAATTCATTAAACTAAAGATTCCACACGTTGTGATCCCTGAACCTAGAGTATAGATTTCAAGTAAACACACACACACACACAGAGAGAGAGAGCGAGATACATACAGAATTACATACATAGATGGTTACATATGCTAAAGACAAAAGGAAGGAATAAGTTAAGAAACCTTACAGGTTTTTGTGCACTAGCTTTATCCCCAAAATTAGCCACGTTCTACAACAAATTCAACCTAATTTTGAATCTGTGCGCGCCCAGCAAAGTATATCCTTTTTTCTTCTTCTTCTTATTTTATAATAAGAAATAAATAAAAATTCGTCAAGTTTCAAAAAAATAAAGTGGCATTAATTCCAAATTTGATCGCTTCGTTTTAGCTTTCTTTTTTTTTTTTAATATAAATACCCAGTCGAAAAATCAACATCATCCACAAGTTCCTTCCATCTTTTACTTCTACTTCCACTTTCTACACTTACCTTTACTTTTGCCTTTACTTCAATTTTCATTTTATTTCTATATATTTTATACCAAGAACATGTCAGATTCATACCTACCTATCAAGAACGCTAGTGGCAAACATATCAACCTCTTGAACGATCAGCCACCAGCCGGATCATCTGAGAACAAAAAATTCAAAGTGTTTTCTAACCAGTCACCAGAAGATCAAGCTTCTGTTACCCGTCGTCGCTACCATTGCCCCGAGCCGATGTGCGACAAGAGTTTCACTACAAGGTAATAATATTTTTCTTAATTTTTTGTTTTTATTTTTGTTTTACTAAATAATATTAATTTTATCATCTAGTGGTCATCTTGCTAGACACAATCGAATTCACACTGGCGAAAAGAATTTTCAATGCCTTCACCCAGGCTGTCTCTCTCGCTTTTCGCGACAGGACAATATGATGCAGCATTACAGAACACACATTTCGCCAAAGTCACGTAGACATTCGCACCAAAGACAGCATTATCATCTTATGAGCCACCCTTACCATAGGCCAACCAGTCCTTTGGAATATTACCACCACAACACCAATTCCAACCCTAATCCTAGTCGTAGTCCTAATTACACACGCCTTTACTCTGACAATCGTTCCGTGTACCTTTCCGAATCTCCCTACAGTCAACCGCTATACCATTCACTGCCACCTACAACCACATCATCAGCACCAAAAGTAGTCATGACAAAAGTTGAGCCAGGATTGACTAACCTTTCTGATCAATACAATTCTCACTTACCCGTTCACCCTGTCCATGTGCACCGACACCAAGTTTATTCCCACTCTGCCCCGCCACATTCTACATCGCATGGCTACCTTTCCCCTTCTCGATCTATTGACAGCTCGCCACATGGAAGATTGCCCAAGCCCCAGCCAATCGAGCCTTTCATGGGCCCAGGAGCAGGAGTAGAAACAGGAGTAATAATTCCAGGTCCATGTCCAGGTTCAGGGCTAAGTTCAGGTCTAGGTTCAGGTTCATCTGTGGGACACAGAAACTCCCATCCACGCTCTGTCTCCTCATCCCCCTCATCTTCGTCTTCGCCTTTTTTATTCTCACCCCTTCAATTCCACGCTTCCCCCCCTCTTCAAATGGCTCCCTACCAACCTCCTGATTCTGCATACAACTATCCTTCCTACCAATCGAGACCTCGGTACTCGGTCTACTCACCTCCGCAGCACAAGTTGATGTCTTACGACAGTTACCATTCGCTTCCTTGCACAATCAGTTCTTTTGCCTAAGCCAACACACCCCCTCCTCTAAAAAAACCCTTTCTTTATATATTATAAATACGTGGCAAAAGAAAAAAAGAAAACAACCAAAAAAAAAAAGAACAGCAGCAACAGCAACAGCAACATAATCACCATAATCATTTTTTATATTATTATTATTATTATTATTATTATTATTATTATTATTATTATTATTTGATTTCTTCAAGGGAAACAAGTGTTTATAAACTTCATTTTAGATAGAAAACAAAATCCCACTACACATGCACATACATATACACCAAAGAAGAATATACACACACATATATATATTCTATGCACTCCATTCCACATTATTATTATTATTATTATTATTATTATTGTTATTATTATATTAGCATTTCATCAAATGATAATTATAGACATCTTCTTGTCCATTTATATGATCCTTTCTTATTTATATCTTCATTTATTTATCTTTCATGTACATATGAACCCTTCATACTTCATATACTTTCTTGCATTTTCTGTGAAAGAAATCTTCATTGTTTCTTGGTTCTTCTTTATTTATTCATATGCACAGCAACCCTACATTTATACTCTTCTTCTTTTTCTTTTCTTGTTATATAAATCCACACAAATTCATCATCTATATTTGCACATTTTTTCATTTTTCATTTATATACATACACACACATTCACATTCACATTCATATTCACATTCAAATACAAATAAAACAAACAAATAAAATAAATCAAATATATCATTATATCATATTCGCCATTACTGTCATAAGCATCATTATTTTATTAATTTTGTGTATACAAAAAAAAAGGCTACTACAATTTCTTTTCCTTTCTCCCTCTTACCACCCCCTCTTGTGTCTCAGATGATGTAAAAAACAAAAAAAAACAAATAACAAACGAAAAAGACTAACCTAGAACGCAAACCGTATCCATGGTAATATGGGCCCTTTTTGTGCAGCGATACACCATCAACTCAGCCTTATTTAGAAACTAGAAAAGTACGACATTAAAACTATGGTACAGAAATTTTTATATTAAAAAAAAAAAGAAAGTTTTTTTTTTATTTTTTTATTTTGTTCCCTTGGTTACAAAGATCGTCCCGCTATTAACGCCGCCATAAAATAAAATCTTTTTATAGAACATAATATAAATAAATTTTATTTTGAATTGAATTGACACTGAATTTGGTGTACTGAACTGACTATAGAATATTCTGAAATAAATAAATTAAAAAATAGAAGGTATTTAATTTTATTCTATATTCTATTCTATTTTATTCTATTATATATTTTTTATATATTTTTTATATATTTATATATAGATATATATATATATTTTATGATTATCTTGAACCAATAAAGGTATTAATCTTGAGTTGCTTAATAAGCAAAAGCCAAACAGTTGTAATATAATACTATTTTCTTTTGGTTAATGTAAAGAAGAGTACTATTGATTTTCAATTACTTGAAATACACGTTAATTTGCCTAGATTAGTACATGTCTATATGTCTGTGTGTGCATGTGTGTGCGTATATGTATGTATATGTATGGTCTAAATGACTTACAAGGTTGTATTTGTCAATTTCTTATTTTAAAAACAAAACAAAACAAAACCAAAAAAAAAAGGTGCTACATACATACACGCACATACAAGTGGGACAAGAAATGCAGAATATGAAGAATCTAAAGAATATAGTAACACTGAAAACGCCTTTGTAAATTTTTTTTTCCCTCTTTTTCCCTTTTTCCCTTTTAGTCACTATGTATGATATTCAACTCATTTTTGGCTTTGTACAATGTACCGTGTACACTATATATGGATATATGCTCATGTTCATATATGAATGTGAGTAATTGTGATTGTGATTGTGTGCAAATGTTTATAGTGTGTATAGTAATGTTTCAAGAATAAAAGAACAATAGGCAAATAAAAAAAAGAGAGAGAGGTAAATAAAATATATGGCTCATCATTTTGATGAAGATCCAACTGTAGGAATTCCATTTGTGCTCTGAACTGTGCAGGGGCGCTTTGCATCTGGAGCGTCAGTCTTTCCTCCCTGGTGGTCTCTCTTACCGAACGATCCTCTATCTCCTCTATCTCCTCCGCCTCCTCTTCCTCCACGTCCGCCACGTCCGCGTCCGCCACCACGTCCACCACGGAAATCTCCACGTCCACCACCGCGACCACCTCCACCACGACCACCGCGGCCTCCACCACGACGACCACGACCAATTGCTTCTCTAGCTTCCTTTTGCTTTCTGACAAATGTTTCACGTGCAACATCTACAGAATAAATAAACACATAAATAAATATAATAAAAACAAAAAGGCAAAAAGGCAAAATCAACTCACCATCTGGCAGTCTAAAGTTCAAAGGACCAATAGAATTGTCTGTAAGTTGGCTGAGGAACTCCTCAGGGGTCTTGTCAACCAATTCCAGTACACCACAGCCATCGGAACTAGGTCCCAAGGGCTCAAGATAAGGAGCCTTGCCAAATGGCAAGACCATTGCCTAGAATGGTGAAAACAACGCGTTTGTTATTATAATTATTACTATAATTTTTTTTTCTTATTTTTCTTATTTTACCTTGATTTCTTTAAAGCTCAAATCCTTTCCTCCAGAATACTCGATCAAGCTCATCACAGCTTTTCTACCAACAGGAGTGTGTTCCCATTTTACACCATTGAATTTTTCTCTAGATTTCTCATCAATGTAATTTTGCCTATTATATAGACACAAACCAAAACAAAACCCAATAAATAACAAAGAAACATATATATAGTGGTAGACACTCTAGCTTACTTTAGCATAACAAGCAATTTGGTGTTCTCAAATGAGAGATCCATATTGGCAACTTCATTGGCTGTAGCTTCACTGTCATATTCAACAAACACACTTCCCTATTCAACCCCACGCAAAAATATTTCCCGCAAAAAGTTAGTTTTATGCGTGTGTGTGTGTGTCTGTTTAATAAACTCTAAATTTTTGCTTGTCATTTGACGAATCAAATTTCTCTTTCTTTCTTTGCTTCTTTCTTTTTTACCTTGAATTTCTTTTCTTCATCAAGTCTCATCTTCAAGTTGAGCACGCGACCAAATGAGGCAAAATAATCACGGATTACATCCTTGTCTGCTTCTGGATCAACAGAGAATCCTTTCTATATAAATATAATATAATATAAAGAAAGTAAGTAAATGCGTGCGCGTGTATTCATGTGTTGTACAATTAATCCAATTCACATCAAAATACTCAACATTCAATTCAATTCAATTCCAAAATAATAATAATAATAATAATAATAATAGAAGTTTCTTACTCACAGCATAGATAGATCGAGGGTTTTGGTTTGTAATTTTGATTTCAATCTTCTTAATTCTTTCTTGTTCAAGAGCAAGTTCTTCTGGAGTCTTGTCTTCAGTGCCTTCCTTTGCAGTTTCCTCTTTTTCAGGTACTGGGACCTTGCGAAGCTCAGTCTTTTCTTCATTCAACTCAAATTGACCCTTGGAAAGCTCAACTGCAGCCTGAAGTGCAGACAGATCACCATTGATAATAGTCTTGAATCTTTTGATTCCAGAGTACTTTTTAAGTGTGATCCCTAAAGAAAAAAAAAGAAAAACAAAAGAGAGAAACAAACAAATAAACACCCACCCACCCAAATAATAATAATAATAACAATAACATTAATATTGACATTTTGACATTTTGACATTTAAATGTTTTGATTCCTGATTTTGTGATCAGGAATCAAACTATTTTTTTTTTGATATTTTACATCCTTCTTTGGCTTGAACCATTTCTCTAAAGAAATTGTCTTTTTCGAGGTTCTCTTTACTGTGAATCTGGCAAAGTTGCTCAAGCACTTGCTCACTCATTGTATTGTCTGCCATGATTGATCAACCAAAAAAAAAAAAAAAAAGTGAAAATGAGCTATAAAAAAAAATCGCAAGTTTATTTTCCTTCACATTTTTTTTTTGGACTATCTTTTTTTTTTCTTTTTTGCTTTATTTCCTCAGTTAAAGATTTTTCTCCGCAAAAATAAAAAATTGTTAGGTTTTGTTTTGTTGATGGGGGGTATTCAATGCAATTATTCTTTATATTTTAATTGACCAAAAAAAAATTAAACTCCTTTAGAGTGACGGACATTTAATTAGAGTAAATGTCAAAAACATGCTGAGTATCCATTTATTATTGGTTAATAATACAAACTCAGAAAGCATAATTTGTTTTTGAGAAGGAAAAGAAAAAAATTGGATTGATTTGTATAAATTTGTTTATTTATATATATATATATATGTATATGTATCTAATCTTTCTCTAAATATATCAATTTTGTGCGCATGTGCTCATGTTGTGCATATGTGCGTGTCAATGTGTGTAAAAGAAGTAGTAGAAGAATAATGTATGGATAAATAATTATTCCCTGTGTTTCTAACCCTAAGAGATATTGGATCCAGACATGTGGTGAATATTAATAAAAAAAAAAAAGGAAGAAATTTTTTTTAAAGATTTTTTTTTCTTGTTCTTTACAAAATAGGTAAATACATAGATAGACAAATAGATAGGTTAAGAGAGAAAGGTGAGTCAGACGTGTAATGATGTGTACAAATGATATCTATATAAAGATAGACAAGGCAGGAAGACAAGACTTTCTGTGAATCGATTACTCCTTTTTGGTTCCAAATGTTAATTGAGAAACAAAAGAGGTATATCAATTAAATGTCTCTTTGTTTCTTTAGTGTCTCGCGTGGGTTCCTGTGTTTTTGTATGTCTGCCTGTGCCTCCCTGTGCCTGTTTCTGTATGTGTGCCTCTATGTGTCTGTGCCTCTGTGTGTCTGTGTGTGGGATCTTTATCGTCTTCCCCTAATATATATAAAGAAGTTAATACAATATCAAATAGCACGCAATATCAAACACTATATAATAATAGCGCAAAACCTTATGTGATAAAATTGCTTAATCAATGTCTTTACCCGTATGCTTGGCCACCTGCACCACCACCACCTAAATGCAAAACACGTTTACCACGGAAACTCCCGCGTAATTTTGCGCGCTCTTCAATAGCAGCTACAAAAGGAAATATTAATAAAATAGTTTCTACTACTCTAAAATGTTTCTTTTGCTTTTTTTTTTACCTTGACGGGCAGCAGCTTCTTCTCTTTCTTCATAATTGAGAACAAGTTGTTTCAATTGCTGCTGTTCCTCGCGCTCGGCTTCCTGCTTTGATCGTGTGCTGACAGCCAAGACAGAATCTGAAGGAACCTCCATAACCTTGACTTGCTGTCGGTTTCCCTTCTTTGTAAGTAGAGTAAACGACATGTGGCTATCATCCTCATTCGCCCGCGCCTGAGATGCTGTACGACGATCTGTGCAATTTGTGCAATTTGTGCAATGTGCGTGCGCGCATATGTATAGGAATGACAATGAACTGGTGAGACCTTTGTTTTTTTTTATTCCCCACTCTTTTCTCTTTGTACCATTGACTGAATTGAGTTCATACACAGCTACCCCCCCACACACAGTCACATCCCTTCCTCTCTATCTATTTTAAAACATATGTATATGTATATAGACAAATGTGTACCCATTCATTTGATGTTCCACATTAGCATAAATTTCTCTCTTTTTTCTTTTACCTTGTGCTCCACGGAGGTTCATTGGAATAGGAACATCGAGAATAAGAGATTTCTTTTCGAATTTGCGCGATTCGATGCTCTCACTCATCATCTTACTAAACTCACGCTCAAATTCATCATCATCTTCGGTAGAAATTGGCTCTTCCTTGTGTTTGAGCACAACAACATCTTCATCTCCGTCGTTACCAATGACCTTAATTGTTTGAATGATTTTTAAAGTAATTAGTTTTTTTTAAAAAAAATTACACACAGACACAGATAAGCATTGCCATTATATTCCATATCAAGTTGTAATTGTAATTGTAACTCACCTCATCGTACACATCTTCTCTGTCGTCTTCCAAATCTCTGGAAGCCATGCGATCATCGTCTTCTCCTTCGTCACTCGAAGATTCTGACAATTCACTTTCCTCAAAGCCATCATCTTGAACTTTACCGTCCGACCCTTAATTGTTAATATATAATACATACATATACAAAAAACCATATTTAGAATACAAACAAATTCGCCTATTCGTCCATTCATTCACTCATGCATTTGTTAACCAATACACCAACTCACCAACCGATTAACCAATTAACCAACTAATACACTTATTCTTTTTACTTCCTTTTCTCTCTCTCTGAATATAAACATCCTAAAAAGAAAAGAAATTCTGGACTACTATTTTTCTGGTTTGTCTTTACCTTGAACAGATTTAAGTTGATCCAGAAGCATGCGGTCCACAGCCTCATTTGCCTCTTCATAAGATGTAAATATCTGTAACTGAGGGCGAAGCATTTCTAGCGTGTCTGTAACCATAAAGTCGACATCCATAGGTGGTTTGAGTTTACTCAAAATGTACATCTATTGTTGTTGTTGTTGTTGTTGTTGTTGTTGTAATAATGAGATACAAAAAGGATGAAGTAAAAAAATAAATTAAAAGGGTTATTTATTTCAGGTTTGTTAATAAGGTCGATTAAATATCAACATGTTGTTGTTGTGTATATATTTATATTTTACCTGAAAGAAAGCTAAAAAGTTATCAAGCTTCGTTTTTGAACTTCCTCTGTCAAAACACATTCCACAGGTATCTAAGAGGGTACAGCAGAGGCGAATACGGAAAAAGTCATTTGGTGCATCCATAGGACAAAATCTATCTCTGGCAGGTCTTCCGTATTCTTAACAAACAAAATACAGAGCAGTTAAAACAATTTAGAATTTAGACTTTACACATATACTTCTATACATGTATATATATGTGCGCGTGCAAAGATTTGTTATACATCGAATTTGGTAGTTTGAAACCAAACAGAAATAAAATTGTCTTACCATGTCCCAAGGTTACAATCGTGTAAAGAGTGTCAAAAATGATTGGCGAATCTACCATACGGTAATTATACAATTCACCCAAGTACTTTGCTACAGCAATACGTCTTTGATTGTGTTTAAAGATATTTTGCTAATATGAAAAAAATAAAAATAAAAAATTATGATACATATAACAACAATATCAAGATTTTTCTTTACCTCTAAACCAACACGAATCTCTTCAATTACACTATCCACGAGTTGCATACCAAAGTCGGAGTGGTATCGACTTAATCCACTGGCAAGGATAGCAATCAAATGAATATTTCCATACTTGACCTTCCAAATCTTCTGAAAGATCTTATAGAGAATGTGTCTGATGTTGGGGTCTTCCCAGTGCAGCTTGCGCATCTGCTTCAACACCTTGTCGAGCGACTTTTTGTTGAGATCAATGTAAGCTAGCTTACGAATATAGAGCTCCATCGGCGGTCTCTCTTTCTTTATAGTTGCGTCTCTGTCAGGTGGACTGGCCTGATAGTATGCATTTTCAACCATCATCGATTGTCGATTATCCAGATGTTGAACAGTCTTTTTGCGCATAACTGTCTCAAGCTACAGAAAACATATAAACACAAACAATTATAACCTGTTGTTGTTGGATATACACTATACACATTTATCTGAAGTTTCTGTTTAAACTTACCATGGTTGCCATTCTTTGATTTGTTTCGGGAGATTTAAGTAAGAAACGACCACAGGTCTCAAGAAGATTGCAAACTACATCCACATTCTGGTTGCTAAAATCATCCAAAGCTACTTTGAACATGTGGAAGATGGTATGGGCAGGAGCCACCTTGAACTTTGTAAGTTCAGAAATGAACCTAATATTCTATTCAAAATAAAGTAAAAATAACAAGTGCACGCATATACACATATATACATGTGTGAGTAAGCCGCCAATAAACACTAAATGCATTACATTCTATTCTTGTTGTTGTTATTTGGTTACCTTTACTCTCGATTCCAACAAGTCTTGAGTCTTTTTTCTTTGCAATCCTTTAAATTCATGTTCAAGCTAATCCAAAGAATAAGTTTCACTTTCTTGTTTTTGTTTCGTTTCTAGACTTAAACAATGTATATATATATATTTATGTAATTACTCACAGCTGCTACAACAGTCTCTCCAATATCAGGATAATAGTTGTTCAGAACAGCAATCAGTCTTGCATAATAAGGTAATAGATCCACACGTTGTCTAGGAACGCCCAAAAGAGTCTATATTTTGTACAGCCAAAAAACAAAAACAAAATCAGATCCACATATACACAAAATGTTCTTTTTTTTTGTACCTCTTTTTCTCTCTTTCTCTCTATTTATGTTTACCTTGACTAATCTCTTTCGAGCAGTCTTTGAGTTGACATAACAAAACTCAACAGCAGCACCATCGATCAAATCTCTGTTAGCCAAGGTTGGAAGACGAGCCAAGAGCGCATCAACAACAGCAAGATGGGTAGGCTTGACACCTGCTTCATCCTTATCACCACTATAGTTTTGTTTTACAAAAGAAAATTTATATGCATTTGAATGAGACTTTTATATACATGCACACAGTAACGAATTAATTTGTTTACCTGATGGACTTGTCCACAATTGTCGAAGGATCTACATCATCCTCTTCAGTATCGTCCTGCCCTGTTTCCTCTGCACCTTCTAGAGAAGTATCTTGATCTTCAGTAGAGCTATCCTTTTCATCATCCTTTGATTCTATTTCCACTTCGGCCTTTTCGGCCTCTTCGGTTTCTTCTGTTGTCTTTTCGTCATCATTCTTTTTTGGAGGCTGAGATTCTAAAAATACTCCAGGAACCAGGACACGAAGATCGGGCAGGTCTTCGTAGAATTTACGAGCATCCTCATCTTCAAAAGCACCATTTCCATTATTTTCCTACCAATAGACGCATATAAATATTCATATATTCCATAAGAAATAAAAATATAAAAAAGCAAATACACACCTTTCCATCAGCAAATGCATTGTTATTTCCTGAACTGACAATAGACACCTTTGCCTCATTGTCATCTTCAGGAAGATCGGGCATTTCTACATCCAACGACTCTGCCAAACTATCAAAAAAAACACACACATACATACATTTGTTTAATTTTTTTTAGAATAACAACTTTCTTTTTTCAATGCACACACACACATATATATATATATTAATTGACTTACGTTTGTGTGTTGGCCAAAAGTTTTTCATACGCTTTTGTAGCCTTTTCATACTTCTTTTTTGTCTCTTCTGAAAGCTCTCCTCGAGAAAAGAGGGTTTCATGATTGCGACTATCCATGCGCTTGATGTAAGTGTGTTCTTTCAAGAGATGCTTTGCCACGCTGCGGTAGTACTGATCCAAGAGATCCTTGATTAATGCCCGGTTTTCGGGCGTCACGGCACTGTTTCCTGTTTCCTTGACAACAAGACCTCCCGCAGTCACTGCATCCGAACCCTCCTCTGCTCCTTTTTCTTCATCGTTATGTTGTTCTGCTGCTCTTTGCTTTCTGGGCACAATACCAAGGATCTCTTGACCAAAGTTTTTTAAAAACGAAGCTGCAAGTTGAATATTGGTGTGTTGAACCATATCCGTGCCCAACTATAACAAAAAAAAAAGTAAATCCCCAATTTGAATAATTCTGAATAATTTTCATACACACACACACACACACGTAAATTAGCAGCCACTTACCAGATCCTTGAGAACACGATAAACAAATCCACCTGCTTTGCTGTCTTTCTCGATTTCCTTGTCATCCCTCTTCTTTTCTTTTGATGATCCAATCATACCAGCCACACCATCCCTGGGAGCCTCCACTCCTTCCAGATTTGCAGAGGCAAGCGAAGGAATTCCATCTTCTACATTCCGCAGCACACCCACGAGCCACAGTTCGACTGCAATGCGTAAGTATGTTCTCTGTCGCAAGATACGCGACGTCTCTTCCTTCTCTCTTTGTTCAGGTGTCAGTGTGCTGAGGTGTTGTTTGGTTGGTAATTGAAGTATTTTGAAAAGTCCAAAAGTCAATAGTAAGGTAAACGTATCTGGGAATCGTTGATGTAGTGCAGAAACAACCTATTGTGTAAAGAAAGAAAGAAAAACGAGAACAATTAAATATTCAAGTATTTGAGTATATATAAGAATAATGATCATAATAAATAGAATGGAATGTGATATTATGGTTTCATTTACCTCTGCACATGCAGAAATATCGGTACTGTTTTTACATTTGGCCATGCCTTCTAACACACTGCCGACTATTTCTGAAATGTACTTTTCGAGACTAAGTTTCTTAATGTCATTGAGTAATTGCTGACTGGAATCTGCTGTGAGAGCTGTCTTGCATTTCTTGATGAATGCCGTATTCTTTTTAATATTACTATCGAGGTTCTTGTATAATGATGGATCTAAAATGTACAAATGTATTAGTACATGTATATACATAAAGAAAAGGGGGTTGTTACTTATTTGAAAGACATTATCATTATCATTATTGTTATTTGTTTTACTTGCCTGCTTTGCCTCGGTCCCAAGCTTCTTTATTCGCGTGCCAAAGGGTTTGTTTTCTATCCATTACTGACTGATTTGTGTTTTATGAATATCAAAAAATTAAAAGACAAAAAAAAGAAAGGTTTACAAAAGAAATCAATACTTGGATTTTAAACTTTTTCTTTTTTCTTTCTTTATTTGGTCTCCCTTATTCGTACTGTATTTCCACCGTCAATTGGTCGCTTTATTGAAAAAAATTAGCCGTATTTCAAATTTAAATTGGTCTCTTTCCTGAACTTCAATTGGTCCTTTTTCCGAACCTCAATTGGTCAGTTACAGTGGTTTTCGCTTAAAAACCAAATTTTTGGAAAATAATCTTTCAAAAACTAATAAAAAAAAATGAAACTGGGAAGTGGAAAAGGTACAAAGGTCAAAAGGATTCAAATAGATTTACTGTCTGATTTCAGTCCTCTCGTTCCCTCTCCCACGTTCATAATGTTTCCTTTTATCACCTTTATCAATATTCGGCAGTAGTTGAGTATTAGGCTTAAATCAACAATGAAAAGCACGTTAAACAATGATACAGAATACCTTCATCTCTTTAATCCCTCTTCCTCTTGATGGCACCCACAAAAAATGACTATTCTCGCTACTGCTGTTAATAATGTCTATTATGAAATAATTGAGTCAAACAGTATCTGGTTGTGAAAGATGTTGATATGATCGATAGACAAATGATAAATATTTATTATTAAATAATGGATCAGTTATTTAGGGCATTTAATGCTATTGTTTGTTGAAAAAATAAAATAAAGAATTGTTCGAAAGTTATTTTAATCCAACTGTATGATCCACGACTGCTTGTCTCCAGGCCTGAATCTTTGGAATTTCTTTAAAAGCTTCGACACACTTTCTCGGGGACGTGGGAGCTCCAATGGACTCACGAATGGATCGGAAGAGCATATTATTATAACTGGTTAACTTTTCGAAGTAAATACATGTATCTGCTGTGACAAAAAGAACAATAATTGAGCACAGAGTACTTGAAGATAAATCGTAATCTTACCATAATAACGCTCACAGAACGTTTGTAATTTAGTTAAAGACAATTGAGCACTGAGCACAATTATCAGTTTTGAGTAGATCTTGATAATATCACGATGATTTTTTTTGTATTTGAGGTTTGATCATTGTGCCCCCCACAGAAAATCCAATTAAACTTGCTGAGTAGGACCTGTTATCAAACTTTATTAATACGCCGTCCCGCTTTGTCCTATTCATAGCAAAGAACTTGCATTCTAGCCAATCCAACTCAAGTATACCGTTATTAGAGATAAGCAATTGCTTTACAATGAAAATGATGAAGTATGTGGCAACTGTTCGTTCAAGCACTCGTTGGTCAAACGAGTTTCTGGGGTGAATACATAAAGTCCAGGCTAAAAATGAATAGGTTAGAAATATTAAAGCATAGACAGGATTATAGTTGAAAATGCATTACAAGTGGCGGGTTGTGACTTCAATGAAAGCTGCATCCGAATGGCCAGTGGAATTAAACACTTTATTGAAACCTACGGCTCTTAGGGATACAGAATATTTGTATAAAGACTTTCTTTTGTGGTTTGCAAAAAAGAGTGAATGGAGATTGCTTACCAGTTGGTGCTGTCAAACTATGGGAATATAATTAGGGGAAAGAAAGAGAAAGACATGATATGCGTAAGAAGGCCAATAAACAATAAAATATCCAGCTATATTGCGTCACACTCTAATTACAACAACTCCTTATGATTCTCTATATAGCAGACGGTTGAGATAGTGTATTTATGATTATTTATTATTTCTTTCTTAGAGAGGATGTCTTCGAACCTGAATTGCAAGCGTTTGCAAATTTGTATTTTACGCGGCGAATTAAATTCCAATATGTTTTTTGCCAACTTCATGATGGAGGCCACAGTGAGCATTTGACGCCAAAAGTTAGTGAATCCCTGATTTTTTGCTTCAAATGCTCACTAAATGTCTACTAGAAATTTAGCTTTTTTCTTCCCCTTTAAAACAAAGTATATGATAGCCAAGGGTCGCTTCTTTGTACTTACTTAATATAATAAGCCTCAGGAAGTCAGGTTTATTAATGTCTATTTCCTTTACATTTCTTAGTATTAATGTTTTCAACTTATAAATCCTCATAACTGTGCCTGAGTTTTATTTATTTTTGATTGAGTTTTACAAATAATTATTTTTTAGCCGTCTTATTATCACAACTCGACATCCTCTCTATTTATACTTGTCTATTATTATTATTATTATTATATTTTTACAATAAAAATTTCTTTTGAAACATTTAACAAATATTAAAGTCTGACCCCAACCCAGAAAAATGTATATAACCATAAAGCATTAATTATGAGTGACGTTACATACTTTCAGCCTGTCCAGAATGCCCTGCCAGAATGTCCTGTCAGGCTGTCCTACCAAATTGTCCTACCAGGCTGTCCGTAAGGTTTCCCTTTTTCTTTTGGGTGAGTTTGAGGCAATTGACCAAACGTCACTCGTGACGGGTCCTCAACTGGATCTCCAAAAAAGGTATCTATACACCATGTCTAGTAAAGTTATACCTCTTGGCTCGTGCCTTTCTTTTTTGCTTTTGCTTTTGTTTTTGTTTTTTATTCTTATTTTTATTTTATTTTGTTATTTGTTTCTTCTTTCCTTTTATCCTTAAAAAAATTACCAAACCAAACCAATTGTCCTTTATCTCGCCTCCCCCTTTTTTTTCATCCCCTCTCTATCCATCTTTATATCTTCATTTTAATTATTGTATAAAAACCCACACACACAACAAATAATAAAAAAAAAGTATCAATGATTAGCGCATTTTTTATCTACAACCAAAAGGGTGAAGTCCTCATCTCACGTCTCTATCGTCATGACCTCAGGTAAGAATATATCTTTAAAAAAAAAGAGAGAAAGAAAGAAAAAGTACTTTTAATGCAACCGAGTACAAATGAAGAATGAACCAATACTTGTAAAAATAATAAAAAGCATCCAAAATTATTTTTACTTCTTTCTAATTGACAACACTCTATTCTTCTCATCCTCTTCTTTATCCATCTCTATTTGAACCTCGAACTCGACCACAACAATCGATAAACAACAATTGTACAAACTCCACCACACCACACCATATTATACTACACTGTATACAGACGATCTGTTGCTGACATTTTCCGGATTCAGGTCATCTCAAACACTGACGTCCGTTCACCCATCATCACTCTCGGCTCAACATCCTTTTTTCACGTGCGTCATGAAAACCTGTACATTGTGGCGGTCACCAAATGGAATGCAAACGCTGCTCTGGTATTCGAATTGTGTTACAGAGTAATCAACATCGGTCGAAGCTATTTTGGCAAATTTGATGAAGAAGCAGTCAAGAACAACTTTGTATTGATTTATGAGCTTTTGGATGGTGAGAGAAAGACCTAATTAAGAGACTATGATATTTCCTGGAGGAAACTGAAGAGGGCGAGGAGGGCGAGGGGATTATAGACATACACAAGAAAAAGTCAATTGAATTGAATTGGGTACTTACAACAACTATTAAAAAAATTGTTTAGAAATTCTCGACTTTGGTTATCCACAAAATAGTGAGACTGATACATTGAAGATGTACATCACAACCGAAGGGGTAAAGTCCGAGAGAGCAGTGGAAGACTCGAGCAGAATTACTATCCAGGCCACAGGTGCAATCTCATGGAGACGCAATGACATCAAGTACAGAAAGAATGAGGCCTTTATCGATGTCATTGAGAGTATGAACTTATTGATGAGCAATACAGGTAAAGAAATAATAAATAGCAAATAAGAAGAGAAGGAATAATATCTTTTTATCTCTCTCTCTTTGTATGTCTATTATTATTATTTTTGGGTTAAACTATTTGTGAGTATTTATTAATCTTTTCTTTATTCGTTTTGTGTAGGAACTGTTCTGAGAGCTGATGTTGCAGGACAGATTCTTATGCGTGCTTATCTGTCAGGTACACCAGAGTGCAAATTCGGACTCAATGACAAACTATTGGTAGACAATGATACTGTAAACCGTACCACGCAAGTATCTAGATATATATATTTGTCTTATTATTTTAAAAAAAGAAGGTAAGATTAGTAAGAACTTATTCTAACGGATTTTTTTTTATTTCAATTATTAGTGCTCGTCGTGCAAATGCTGTTGAAATTGATGATTGCCAATTCCATCAGTGTGTTAAGCTTGGAAGCTTTGACAACGATCGTACCATCAGTTTTACTCCTCCAGATGGTGAATTCGAATTGATGAAGTAAGTTATATATATATATATATATATATATAATTTCTTTATATTTCTTTATATGATTGTGTGTGTGTTTTTTCGCAATTGGATAGCTTATGTGTGTTTATTGTATAATAGATATCGTACTACAGAAAATGTCAATCTTCCTTTCAAAGTACACCCTGTAGTAAATGAAATTGGAAAGACTAGAGTAGAATACAAAATCAATGTCAAGGCCAACTTCTCACCAAAGCTGAGTGCCAATAATGTTATCTTGAGAATTCCTACTCCCCTCAACTCGGCCAAGGTAGAGGTCAAGGTCAGCTCTGGCGGAAAGGCAAAATATGCACCATCCGAGAATTGTATTATTTGGAAGTATGTGATTGTGTGATCTTGTGCCGATTATTATTATTATTTTGGATGTAGATGTACCAAACAAGTGGCCCAGACTTTTAACAATATTACAATTTTTAGGATTCCTCGTTTCCAAGGTCAGTCAGAGCACACTTTGAGTGGTGAGGCAGAACTTACTTCAATGACCCACAAACGTGTGTGGTCACGACCTCCAATTTCGATGGACTTCCAGGTAAGAAGACATATAGGAATTGTTTTGTACACGACAATTAATTACTTATCTTTTAAAGGTCTTGATGTTTACATCTTCGGGACTCTTGGTGAGATTCCTCAAGGTGTTTGAGAAGAGTGGCTATCAGTCTGTTAAATGGGTCAGGTATATGACAAAAGCAGGCTCATACCAAATCAGGGTAAGTTATTGTACCGGAATATATGTTTAATACATAATTAAATAAGACAGAAAAATATTAATAAGCCTATTATTTGATTTCTTTTTCTTTTAGTTTTAAGAAGGTGTATATGTGTGTGTATATTTAATGATATACAAAGAGATGGAAATATGGCTAAAAAGAAAGAAGCACTTACACTTCACATTTACAACAACAACAACAAAAAGCACGTACACCTACCATCTTACTATCTACAATTTACACTTACACTTACACCAACATTTCCACCAACATTTCTACCTAAATTTCTACCTACACTTACATCTACACCTACACAAACAATACATACACACATATATAAATATAAATATAAATATAAATATATTATATTATATTATATTATATTATTCTGTATATCATTTTCTCATCTTCTCCTTCATACTATTCTATACCATATTATTCTTTAATGATTATTTTCTGTTAAAAAACGATTTTATAATGAATGAAACTTCATTGTAATATTCTATCTAAAACAATAATATCATGTATTTGTTCTATAAATCAATTAAATAAAAAGATAAGTAGATAAACTGTACTTGTTTAAGTATACACCCTTTTTCGTAATAAGAAAAGCAATGTAACAAGTGTTGGTTATCTAAAAAAAAAAGTCATTTTGATATTCTTTAGTATTAAAACATCAATCACTTAAAAAGAAAACAACATGTATAAGGCTAGAGAGAGAGAGGGTATGTGTGTGTGTGTTCATTAAGTAATAATCATTATCAACAAACCTTTTTGTAGTTTAAATATATTTGAATGTTGCCTACTCCTATTTGTTTTACAATGCATTCACACGCATAAATATACTCACAGTGCAAGAGTATAATTCGAATTTAAATAAGAAGAGTAAGCAAGTATTAATGAATTGCAAAATACAACCTTCAATATTCTGTATAAAAGAATAATTCACCAAAAAATTATAAAAAATTTACTAATATTCTTGTTAAGATATTACAAACGCATGGTAGAATATTTGTATACTAAAAAGACCTTTAGAAACAATTCTAAAATAAAATAAAAGCCTACATGGAGAATTGGGAGTAGTGGACGTAGAAAATGATAATTAAGATGACCACTAAGAATATTACTGGATATAACAAAGTCTCATTTCATTTATATCATGATACTGTAAAGAGTATATTTCCGTTAAACATATTAAACTTGACGTGCTTAATATTACATGCGACATTTGATATTTTGGATTTATTAGAAGAAGAAATAAAATAACTAAACTGCTGCTGCGTATCTATATCTCTTAATTTTACAGGTACACAACGTTCCATCCTAGCCTGTTTAAAGGAATAAAGAAATAATGAAAGACCGTATATGAACTTCAGTTCTCTTTTTGAGCAGCTTGATAACTTGATTCTATCAAAAGTTACGGGGCTTTTTTTTTTATCTAAAAAAAAGCCTTGAGATTTTAGTTTTCATTCATAATTGCACCAAAACAGCCACTGTACTTTTTATCACAAATAATATACTAGTTTTTGAGAATATTTCAAGCCAACTATTTTGTGGCTATTTTTTTTTCCTAGATTCAAATCGAACTCTGACTTTTTATCAAGATGGAAAAAAAAACATATGGTGACAAAGGTTCCTAAGTCTTTCAATAATCTGCTTCTATTCACGTCCGGTTCTTGGCTATATCAAACTAGTCTTTATGGTGCATTTTATCAGAGTATAAAAAATAAGCTGTATTATCTATATACTGGGTTAAAATATCCTTTTCCTTATTGCAACAAAAATACAAAATTCATACAATATATTTCCGTATTGTAATCATATTAAAGTTTATGCTAGCTTTAAATTGATATTGTGTGCAATCCAGAATGATAAACATCCTCAAAATTCTGGATTCAAAGCCTTTAAACTTTATATATTGTGCAACTTGAAAATATCACATAAATACTTTGTTTTTTCCCAATTAATTGGGTGCTCTTCTAATAAAAGTAATAATACCAAACAAACAGCCTATTATCATTCTACTCCTCTACTCCTCTACTCCTCTTAATCTCTTTTTTTTTTGTAAATTTCTATGTTGTGGAATGCTTCTACAAAGATTATCAATTATTTTATGTATTTTACTATTGGCATTTATACCCAAATGCTATGCTCCGCCGATTCAGCAAGATGATTCTCCATTTATCAGTAAATTGCCTGTAGTTTCAATTTTGCGGATTGTCTTTGTCAGTTACATAGCACATATCGTTACCATCCGCCCTACAACCGGTATCAGTACCTTTTCTACGCTAGAACGGCGTATTATGGGGTTTCTATTTCCTTCCAGTGAAATTGGCATTATATTGGGGTCTATGTACAAAGCATATTATGGAGATGAAATACTCAAAATCACCAAGTATAAGCCCTTTTTGGAACGCTACGATAAAGAAATCGAAGGAGAAATCTTCAAAGTCAAAAATAAGAACGACCAAAGTTTACAAGCCTCGACAATAACAGCTTTACCAGACTCAACAACGTCAGCCTCGTTAGACAGAACAAGAACGGCTTCAATGGACGGAATAAAGTCAACTTTATTAGATGGAGTAAAGAGAGTATCATTTGACTCAAGGTCAACATCATCAGACTCATTCTCCTTGGATGGTCAATCTGCAACCGAATCCAAAAATGACGAGGATTATGACACAAAATATAACGAGACCAACAACAAATTCTCAAGCGTTGTAAACCTAAGAAATCGACTAGTAAAGGATACCAGAGAAGAAAATAATCTTAATCACCCTCAAAATGCAGCGTATTTAGCCGCCTTTCTTCATATAATGGGACCCAAAAGAGCAAAGAAAATTAAACACTGTATACTAGCAAATTCTTTAATCCTTGGCTCGGAAAATAACACTGGTGGCGCAGAAGACTCGAACTACATTGAAGGGCTGACTATCAATGGTCCTGGAGCAGCCTGTAATTATCAATACAAAATAAACTTAAATGATACCCATTTCATGACAGACGATATGATCAATCAACTCGAAACGGCCCACTATATCGACAACATCCCGTATATTGAAATATTTATTACAATTGTACAGCTGTTTTTTACGGCGATTGAATGCATGGAAATAGACGGGGACAGATGGGTCAAGCTTATTATGATTATATACACTATAATGTCAGTACTTCAGACAGTTTCTCTAATTGCATTGCATAAGCAAACAGCGACGTTTAGTGTCATAAAATATGACCGATTTGTCATTATTAAATATGATCACTATCATAATAATGTACCTCCACATAAGTCTTTTTATGATAAATTAGATGTAAATGTCTTTTGTTTTTTGGCAGGAATAATATCATTCTTGCTACTTGGTATATGGGCAGATTATAATAATCATAGTGTCACAGAATGGCTTGTAATTTCATGGATTATTAGTCCTTTAGCTCTCTATTTCATGTTTTTTTTAAGTACCATGGATATATTAGGTATCATAGGGATGGGTATTTTGTTAATTACCTGCTTTGGGCTTCTTATTTCTGCCACAATTATTGGATATTTACCAAAGTAATAGTATAGCTCATTTTTTTTGTATTTCAAATGATAATGTATATCTCTTGTTGCAATTAATAAAATTCATAAAACATTTATGACATATTTATCAGAATATCTCTTTCTACTTTCAGTGTACTTTCTCACTTCATTACCTTACCTCAGGCTAATTTCACACTTCTTTAAAACCGCTCAATACTATGTACATTTTGATTTGAAGGTATATGTCTTTTCATCCATACCCATTTAAAAAAATAAATGAAGGAAAAGGAGACAAGATCTATATATATATATCCAGTATGGCTTCCTTTATAAAGCTTATCTGGTCTTTTATTTTGGCTTTTTAAAATTCTTGATTACCTCAAGAGTTACAGATCTTTGACAAAAAAAAAACCACTCCAGGTATTCAGTGTTTATTTCAGGTTGTGCCACAACAGCCACTATGTCTTTTATAGTATGCAATACACAAGTATTTGCAAACATTTTAAGCCATCTATCTTATGGTTATTGGTCATAAACTCAAATTGAAGTTTAGCTTGTGTATCAAAACATTAACATTTGTGTTAGCATTTGTTCTTAAACCTGTCACTACTTTATTACTAGCAGTACTAGTCTCTGACTACCTCTAATGTCCTCAAAATAAATATTCCTCAAGTATAATAACCAAGCTATATACTGTCTTTAGACTACTAAGATGCCCGCTTATTCCAACATAATACGAAACGCATACCTAATATTACTATAGTGTAATCGTATTAGAACTTATTTTAGCTATAGAATTATATTGCGTAGGCTTTGAATGGTTGAGCATTCTCGCCATTTGCATTCTAAGCCTTTGAATCTTATACATTATATCACTTGAAAGCATCATATAAATACTCTATCTTCCCAATAAGTTTCGTATTATAATTAAAATAAATAAATACCAATTAAATATCCCTACTATCCCTCTATATTTCTCTTGTTTTTATTTGCACTGTAAAATTACAAATACTAGTGCTTCTTTTATCTCTTTTAATATTATCCTTTATACCTAAATGCTATGCTCCACCAAGCCAGCAGGACGATAATACATCTATCATTAATTTTCCTATTGTTTCAATTTTACGGACAGTCCTTGTTGGTTACCTGACACATGTCGTAACTGTCAGAACAGATTCAGGCTTTCATGACTTTTTTACTTTTCGACTTCGCTTGACAGCTCTCGTGTATCCATTCAGTGGAATCGGTTCTGCAGTGACATCTATATATGTTTCATTTAATGGAGACAGAATACTCGGTATCGATGGATACAAATTATTATTAAGACACTACGAGAAAGAAAAAGACCAAGAAGCACGTAAGGAAGAAGAACAACTGCATACAATCACGATGGAATTAGTATATTTTCTAAATTTGAAAAATATATCACTATTTAACACCAAAATGATAAAGAGGACGACGATGATACCCAAACAAAATTACACAAACGACATTCAAATGTCGCCAGGCTAAGAGATCAACTAGTCAAGGATGTTAAGAAAGAAGGTTTTACGATTGATGATGAAGACAATACACCCTACCTGGCAGCTTTTTTGCATATAATAGGCCACAAAAAAGCAAAGAAGATCAAGCATTGTATCTTAACCAACTCTGTATATATCGGCTCCGAGAAAGTTATTGATGAAGAGAAGGAATACTTTTTCAAGTCTGACATAATGGTTGTTGTTGGCCCAGGTTCATGTTGTAAATATCAAAAGCGACTACTATATGACAAAGCTAATACCATGACAGAGACTATGATCGATCAACTTGAAATGGTCCACCGCCTGGACGATTCTTCATATCTTGAAACATTTGCTACAATTGGACAGCTGTTTTTTACGACGATTGAATGCATGGAAATAGACGGAGACAGATGGGTAAAGGTCATCATTATTATATACACTATAATGTCAGTGCTCCAGACAGTTTCTCTCATTGCTCTACATAAGCAAACATCGGCCTTTAGTGTATTCAAAGATGCCAATACAAAAACATCGGCGAAAAACGATGATCCCATTTCAACCAAAAAAGAATACAAAAGCGAATTATCTGAAGATGTCAGTTCTATTTCAACCAAAAACGAAGACAACACCGAATCATCTAAAGATAATCTCCCTGTTTTGATCGAAAATGAAGACAGTGGAATTCTACCTAAGACCGACGCCTCTATTATATCTCAATGTTTGGACAAACTCAAGAGAAAAAAAGCGAGGACAGCGAAACTTAGAGCTGACATTATCGAAATTCTTACTGCATTTGCAGGAATTATAGTGCTCTTGTTTATGGGTATATGGGCTGATTATAATAGTCACAGCGTAACAGAATGGCTTGTAATATCCTGGTTCCTTTGCCCTTTATTGATTTGTACCATTTCCACTTGTGTTTTTTGTATCGAGAGAAATGCAGAAAAAACCACTGAAATATTACTAGTCCCTTCCTTAATCATTCCTTTTGGACTCGTTACTTCTGCTACAGTTATTGGATATTTACCAAAGTAATATCATAACTCATTTTTTTATTTCAAATTATAGCGTACGTTTCTTGTTGCATATAATAATAAAGGATTAAACATAACATATTGGCAAGGAGATCATACTATTTGAAGAGACCTTAATAGAGGCGAAAAGTGCTTTTTCTACTACACAAAAATGCTGTGGGACACTGTTTCCCAACCAAGTAGAAATACAGAGGCAGAAATCAAGGCGCAAATAATGCGTCGGCGGTGTGGGCGTTGATATGGTTTCAGAACTGTGTAGTGAGACTACTGTTGAGCCATACTCAAGAAGGTGTGGTCTCTATGAATGGTAAGATTGATGAAATCCGGCGCTTGTTCTGGGGCAACTCTACTTACTCAATGGCCATACATAGATTCTCAGTGCATAAACTATCTCATTGCTTTGAGCTTTTAATTCTGAGATATGATACTTTCTGTCAATAGTCCCAATTGAATAATAAGATGTTTCTTTGAGATGCGCAAGGATTGGATCTAACTAGGATTGTAGAGGCTCGAGTGTCTCAGGAAACACTATATGTTTTGATTTCCAATAATAACACCTGGCCTAGTGTGTATGGGAGCAATGGTCTTATAACTACTTGAGCTTATGGATCGCTTTGGACTCATGTTAACTCGGTTAAACAAAGGTTATTTGGGTTATTGGGGTTAGTGAGACAGAGATAGGAGTGGATTTAAAGTCGATTAGCTGTTTTTATATTACGAGTTTTTCTTTCTTTCTTTAAAAAAACAAAGCAAAAATTAGCTTACGTTATTATGGTACTCAATTGGATTCTATGTAGAAATACAAATTGTCTCATTAAACAATGATAGTGCTTCTTCGTTGAGTGCAACAAAATCCAAAAGTATCAATTTTACAGAGCTTTTCTATAGCATTAATACGCTTTTTTTCATATATTCTCCTTTCGAGTTACTTGCCTAAATCCTCACCTTTGAGTTTAGCTTTACATTTGTTTTCCTTGTATTTTCCGGCCTATATATTCAAAAAAGACCCTTCTGGACCTTGGGCGTTTAATGAAAAACAAACAAACAAAAAATTAATGTGTCGAAATTGTACGCCATATAATAAAGGGTGATGCAACCATTTTATGTGTGTGTATATACATAAAAACGTATCCTCTTTCTACACAATTGTTTTATTTTATTTTATTCCTTTACAAAATCTTGCCTCAAATTTATCTGAATGGAAGAGGCTATTGGTGATAGAAAGGCTACTCCTCCGCTTGTTTCTGATACCACCAAGCCAATGAAACTAGAAGAACTTAAAGACTTTGAGGGGAAAAGCGACAGTAAAGAAAGCTTGGATAAAGAATCAGTTGACACAAGTACCAATAGAGACAACGAGGAAAACAGCAGCCAGGATTATGACCTTTCCGTACTTTGCTCCCCTCCTTCTCCTCGTCCTCTTTTGGCCAAATCTTACAAAAAACGCAGAAAGAGAGAAATCGACTATGCCGATCTTACGAAAAAAGTGAAGAAGGAGTTAAGGGAGTCCAGCAGGGCTCTAGAGGCAAAAATTGAAGACTTGTATAAGAAAAAGCTAGTAGTTCTTGAACATGATCTTCGAATTAAGAGAGAAAACGAATATAAGCATAAAGTACATGAGAATATAACAAAAACAACAATGCAAATAGCTCAACTCTACAACTGGCCAGAAGAAAAAGTCAAGAAAGCACTTGAGGAAAACTTTAATAAAGTTTATGGTGGCTAACAACCATCAATTTTAATATCACACTTCTTATCACTATCATTATCATTATTATTCAATGTGTATTATGTGCAATCTCTGCCCTTGAGACGATTTATTGTTTTATTTTTAATAATAATAAAAAAGAAGGTGCTCATTCTTATTCTTAATAAAAAACCCCTTTCTTTTTGCTCCCAGGAAAATTATCTTAATTGACATTGTGTCGCCTATCTGATCTATCAAAAAGTTACTAAGCACAATACATTCACTCTACTAGGAATAGATGCTTGTCTCATAAACTACCATATTTTTTGTTTTCCTTCTGTAAAAGCCTTTTTCTTACAACTCAATCCCTCATGTCATCAAGAAACAAAAAGAACAAGATGCCTGTATCCTAGACGAAAGTTATGAGTTTGAACATGGCCGCTTTATTTTGGGTCCTATAAAACCAACAGCACCTCTCAGCCCCTGCTTGCAAACCACATGAATATAACTTGAACAGCAATCCATCACACTATCAAGCACCAGAGAATTACTTTGAGCAACTGACTCAAAGAAAGTCTAGAGTTGAGCTCGAGCAATCATATTTGGTGTGTTCTGAAAACCAAGGTCCAAGAGAGAAAAGGATCTACAAAATAATGCAAAAAGTCCTCAAGGATTGCAATCTTCAGGTGTGCGAGATACTTGACCCAGAAAGTTCCCTCTTGCTCTTGTAGACAAGTATTCCAGATAGAATACAAGCAGTGATAAAAGCTTGCCGTGGCTACACCTTATAGTAACTTCCATTTCTCTCTTTTTATCTTTCTTTTATAATAATACATATTGCTATATATGATAAAAGCAAGTTTCATCTTATTCAGTCGAGTTTCTTCTGAAAGATATGGGCTAAAGAAGCCTATTTACGGTAGACTGAACCCGGAAAAATTGTGGAAACTCTCTTCCGGTGTTCTAGTTAAGAAGAAGATGAAATAGTTTTCATTAACTTGCAATTATAAACAGTAAGTATGCATAGTGATACTTTAAACTTCGATGTGAATTAACTTTTGTTAATTTTCTTCTTATTCTGCCTCCAAAAACATAGATAGAACCATTGCTAGTACGGAACCAATTGAACGAAAAATTCCAGGAAGAAAAAGTTGACATGCTCTTTCAAGCAAATTCAATAAAATTTTGGATCCACCGAATGTGGCCGATTTGGTGTTTCTGATAACACAAAAGGCTTGACAGAAGGGACATTTAAGATGCCTAAAGTACTGAAAGATATATTTGTGCACATAACAAACTCTTCTCCATCGCTTGTTTGCGAATTGACCGTAGTGGGATTTCTAATCATGGGTATTAAAGAATATCATAAAATTAAAATTACCTTTAAAAATTGAACTAGTATTCACTTATTAACTTATTTGTAGAAGCAAAGTTAATCTTACTGGTTATGGACTCTCCTACCAGCTATGTTTGCCGTGTAAACAGGCTAACGCCTTTAAAGGTTCCAGAACTAGTCGAGGAATTTGGTAGAAGAATGCTGCCAATCGTAGAAGTAATAGACAAGGCAAAGCTTCTGATGGAAAAGTTGTATATCCTATTAGTCAATGACGAAACCCCATTGGATCTAGAATTTGATGATGGCTCAAGAAATGGATCAATCCCTCTCTGCTTTCACATTCAAAGGAATATTGGTCTAAAAATTAGCATTTTCTTTTAATTCCTAAAAAAAATAAAGTTAATTTTGATACAAAAGTTTTCTAAAATACAAAAATATTTATCATATCTCTTTGACACGCAAACATAAGGCATATTAACTGCATTATGGTTTAATAGTTTTACTTATGTTATAACCGTCTAAACAAAAAAAGGCGATTCAAAAGACAATTTTGAAAAAAAAATACCATAGGCATTCTTCAAAATCACTCTTTGAATCCCTCCTTTTTTCTGCAGTGTAACACCACCTTTTTTTCATAACAGCTTTAATTAGCTACGAATAATCATCTAAAAATCAAATATACATATATGTCTCTAATTTAGTTATTCGTAAGTAATTATGTGCTGTATTCTGGAACAGAAGTACAGGAAATTCGGCTATACCTGAAAGGAGGGGGACAGCAATATAAACATATAAAAATATTTTATTATGGCTTTCTTTCTAGACCTTGCGCACTGTGGCATGTAGGCAACACAATGAGAGCCGAAGAGTAATTTATTTGGATAGGTATAGAAACAGTAACCTATGTGACATTGTGCAGAGTCTTAGAAGTAGTTTATACAGAGCTATTGATACGCTCAAATTTATTGATAAAGTCTCAAAATTTGATTATTACAATGTGAAATTAAACTATTTGTTTGGAGAGTTATGTGGGGTTACATGATGCTTTACATCCAGTGGACAGGTTGCTAGGATATATGCAATATTTTTTTGACAGAGGGTGAAAGTATATATAGAATTGGGAATGATTATTCTACAGAAACGGAACGGACTAATATTGCCGGGTTAAGCTATGCAATAAATTTCATGAGAGAAAACCGGGTGTAAAGGCCTCAAAACCAAGCTGGAAACACAGTATGCACTTCAAAGACCACGAAAAGAAATTGCTTTCACCATGAGTAGAGCTGGAGACCTTCCATCTGGCGGAAGGAGTGCTATATCAGTACGTAGTCTTGCAACGGGCCTCTTAGAAATGGTGATAAAAAGGGAGATAGGAACACATCTCTCGAACACCACTCTAAGATATATAAAGATAAAATCTAGGTATTAGATTGTGCAATCATGTGTGTTTATGTTGTAGACTTACTCTGCCTTTTCTGACCAAGAAGATTTATGCGCTTGCGCAAGACATAGTTCTTTGGGAGAGATTTTTTTTCTTTTGACTTGCTTTAGTCTTCCAGGAGCTTTGACCTCACTAGTCACAGGGAAGATCATCTCAGGGTGATCAAAATATTGTTTGGTATTTTCAATGAAGCTGTTCACCTTTGTCATCAGGTCACGAACTTGATGTTCACCTTCACAGCGCCGAAAATGTTTCTCAAGCCGAGAAACAGACTTCATCCATGGAGCAGACTCCTTGATAATAATACTATCAACAGCACTGGTGTCTTTAGTCACATTTCGGCAAGACATAGCTGAGGAGAGAAGCCAAATTTCCGAAATATCGGCCAAAGTCAACACACGATCTCTCGGAAGACTGTGACGACAAGGGAGGCCAAACACCACTTTCACTCTGCATTGGCAAGGCTCATCAGGGTTAACATCTTCCAAAATTTCGGCGCGTATAGTGTATAAAGCCATTCTGGAAACTGAATGGTTTAATCTACGAAGATTACCATCGTTGTATATCCTGGCATCTGTAATGGTCGCCTCATTCAGCTCATGGTCCTGGTAGTCACCTTCAAACTGAAGAAGATACATGTATATTTGCTCAAAAGAAGAGTCAAGAGTCTGGATGGCAGATATTTTTCTTTTCAAAGCATGGTGGTCACTCTCAACACGCTGTGTTGTCACACAGTCCAAATGTCTAAATTAACTGGTGATGTAGCCAGCTCACTTCTCCTTACAAGTCATCCACTCATTCTCGAAATACATCTCAAAAGTTTTTTTTTCTACGATCTTTGCATAGTCCTCTTCATCTTCCTCCTCCTGCTCCCTGCTCTTATGATCTTCGCAAGAAGACAAGAACTCGAAGAGTTCAAGCTTCTCGTCAAAAACCTCGCGCTTGTCACTGAAGATCATACGATTGACCATGTTTGTGCAGGTATTTCTTTCGTTTCCTGGCTTTATTGTCTTCTTAGCCATCTTGAAAACGTTATTAAGGATGTGCCAGCCACAGAGAAGCTTTGTGTTCATGGGAAATGCCAAATCTAATCCATTCATTAATGCCCTGCACTTGTCAGTTACAAATACTGGTCTTTCTTCGATTTCTTCGAGTACAATTGCTCTCAGGGATTCCATAAACCAGACATAACTGGGTTCTTTTTCATCGAATACCCAGGCCAACCCTATTGGGAAGCTTTTCAATAGTTCTCCACCAAGGCTACTGACATCTTCCACACACACCAATGACATCTTTGCACAGCTGGTCTTATATGTGGCAACCACAATCAAAACCTCCGGAAATCGCCGGGCTCTTTTGATCATTGTTTCATTTGTGAAAAAAATGTGTGGCAGTCTGTTAGTTTCATTGGACTTGTACAGAACCTTAAATCCCTTTGCTTCCATATTCTTAATGAGTGTCGTAGCAGCATAGTTTGACCCTTCATCTCCACGAGTAGCACTGTATTTGAGGTTATTTATATCGCTAATCCTCAATTTTCTCATTCCTGTCACTTTATCACTTGTTGCCTTTTGAACATCGAGACTTGGCGTGATTCTCCAACATTGTCTTTGCGATTGTGACATCCTCAGTGATCAAAAGGGACATTCTTCTTTTATGAGAAGAACCCAAATTCTCAGGGATGATAGGATGCTTGTGGAAATGTTTAATGTCACCACGGGCGGGAAAAGAAAGATATCTCTGGTTCTTCAGCTTATAAGAGAATCTTAACAGAAAGGGGCATCCAGTGAGAGAAGAGTTAGGCGCATTTTCTTTTCTTTTATCAACACTGATTTTTCGACTGTCACGATAAACACCAGTCTTTGAACAAGCAAAGTGAAAGATGTCTAATTTTTTTTTATACTTGATCTTAATGGTAAAATGGTTGGAATTTTCATAATCGTTTACGGCCTGAAGGATGCTCTGATTGTCAGGGTAACCATTTTCGGAGAGCAAGAGGGTTGTTTTAAGCGAACATATATTTTCAATATGGGTACCGAAGTTGATATGTATGTTTAATAAAATAGCACTGTATTTAGATGAGCATTTTTGTTTGATTCAAGTATGTATTGTTCGAAATTTACATAGTGTTCATAATGTACACTGTAAAAAAAAGTATTGTATTCCGTTATTATTTGCAAAAAAAAATCTTACAACTAAATGTCAATAAAAAAAGGAGTGTTTCCCGAAAAATTGGGATAACTTTGATGGGGACAGCGTTTGCCTATGAAAGGATGAAGACAGAGGGCCTAAGACAATTTCAACCCGAGCCTCGAACTGGTTTTTTTTTAGAGATCTTTATTTGTCCTTAAAGCATCCCCAACAGTTACATTTTTGAAAACATTTAATAAAAAAAACAATTGGTCATTTTACTATCTATTTGATGTATTCCCATGTAAGATTTTAAAAAATAATTACAGGTGAAGAAGACTATATTTGATAGTATAATTATTATTTAAGTGCTTTTTTTTTATTGAACTAATATTTGGCCCTCCATTTTTTTTAGTGTTTTCAAATACTAGTATAGCTTATCAGAACTTTTTTTTATTGAAAATAAAAAGTGCTACTGCTGCAAACTCTCATAAATTCACAGAGTTTTAAGTAATTTTGTAATTTTTAAAGAAAATTAAAAGGGGGGAGTGAGAAAGTGGGGGGAAGGGTAAGTTATGCATTTATGAAATTAGAGTTAAGAGAGTCTTGGGGGATTGGTTTTATAAAACGAATAGTGAAGGATTGATTATATGTTGAAATTATTTCTAAGAGTCTAGAAAAGCATTGGATTTTTTAATAAACGAATAGTAACGGGGCGATTTTTGGGTATTGACCAATTCTGAAAATCTTAGGATATATTTAGATTCGTTAACAAAATGAATGGTGAAGGTATCTCTTTTTTTGCCTCACAAAAGCATCAAATTTATATGTAAAAAAAAACTAGCCCGTCTAATTCAATTTATAAAAGAATCTAAAAAGATCTCTGAAACACTAAGGCGTTTCTGAAACAAATAGCTACCCCGTCCAACGAACCGGTTTATAAATCACCAAAGTTTTCCTAGCCGTGGTGATATTTTTTGAAACACTTGATTACCCCTACCCAATCATTTTATAAAAAAATATAAGGTTTCTCTAAAACGCCACTCTTGCATGGACTGCATGACTGATATTCATCTCACTCCCCCCTTTTAATTTTATTTTTTATAAATTATGAAATCTTTTGAAATTCTGTGATTTTATGAAAATTTGCAGCAGTAGCACTTTTCTTTTCAATGAATTGTACTGATACGCTACACTAGTATTTTAAAATAAACCGAGTTGCTGCCATTGCAGTTTTTGCACATTCAAAGACTGGAACTAGAAGAATCTCTTACAAGCATTACTTATTTTTTTAACTTCCTCATCTTCGGGTGGACAGTTCATTCAATAAACAATATAAAAAAAATATTTGAAAATAGTTGATATAGGCAGACTAAAAATTCAAAAAAAAGGACAAAGGAAAGAGCAATTTTTTAATCGATTCTAAATAGCTAGTGTTCCAAATCCTCATAAAAGCACAGAATTTCAGAAGATTTCATAACTTTTAAAAAAATAAAATTAAAAGGGGGGAGTGAGATGAATATCAGTCATGCGGTCCATGCAAGAGTGGCGTTTTAGAAAAACCTTATATTGTATGTCGTTCCTAATACAATACTTGTTGCTTCCACTTCGGATTACAAAGTGGCACTGTTCTCCGTAGTAGAAAAATTGAATTCTGTATATGAGTGCTGGCATGATGGTGCCTTGTAGGTTTGTAATAATAATCCTCGAAACTGTTGGATGTCAAGCTCCAACCGACATGAGTTTTAACTTTGTTTGACGAGTTTCCGAGAAAAACGGCTTTTGTGCTGGCTGCCGACCTCAACGAATGGGGTAAGAAAGACTCACTAACACTTTCCTTTACCATATGAGCTTTTACCCAGCTCACTAGTGTGAATGGTCGAATACTTGTAGGTGTTCCTTGTTCATATGACTTGTCAAGGTATGTCAAAAAAAGAATATGGTCCTCTGGTAACGATTCGCGTTTTTGTTGGGTACGCAACATAAAAAAATATAACGCTCACACTGCACACAGTTCAGCTTTGTCTTCATATAGTAAACCGAGTTTTGATGTCTTTTGTTTTGCTTCTTTTGGTTGTTTAATATGCAGTGCGACCCCTTGCAATTCCTCTCTTTGGGCAGATAAATGAACATCGCAGAACTGTAATTGGCCTATATCGCTCCTAGGTCTCCACATTGTATGTATACATAATAGTAGTATTGTCTTTTGTTGCAATTCATATAAGCTGAATGCCGCTGTTGGTGACAAGACGTTGAGTATATAGATGGTTAAGATATTAATGTTTCACGTTTCCAGTTGAGAATCATTTGGGGTAGCTACTTCCGATCTTCTTTTTGCTTTAAATAATCGGACAACCTCTGGGACGTCTGCTATTGGAGTGTGACTCAAATAAAGTAGCTTTAGAACTGAGGCGATCGCAGTACGGTATCCATTAAAGGTCAAGTAATGTTGATTGTTGAATGCTAGAAGAAATTGTAACACTCGTGGAGGACTGTACTGTTCTGGGTTATGTTTTTGTATTGTACACCATTCTGCGTATTTTCGCCAAGCCGTGTTATAGGTCTTTTTGGTGCTGGATTTGGTAGCCTTATTAAGGTGGTTGATCATATCGACATTCATACCATCGGTCTTACTTTTGTTGCTGATAATTACTAAACGATCAAACTCCATTTTCCGTTGATTCTCCATATGATTGGTGGTGCAAGTTGATTCATTCGTAGAAGCGTTGGGAACCAAAACCGACTCTTCTATAAAGGTGTCACCAGGATGGCCTCCTTCGTCTTTTCGAACTTCATCTTTTGAAGTACTCTCGGAACCAATTTCTATGGCGGGACATATATAAACCCTTCTGTTTCCAGTTCCGGCTGAAGGAGTCTACCGCACTCGCGAACGGATCCTCCCAGAAGCTCCAGTATTTCGGACGTTGATGATTGTGTGCTGCTGCAAACGCATCTATTTCTAGTATGGATCCCCATGTGCGCTGTAATTGGTGAAAAAATGCCCGAGGAATCGTTGATTCGTATAGAGGTTTCTTCGGCTGGTTCAATTGATGTGCTTTCACATTGAGGACCCCTGGGAGATGTTCGCATTATATTTGTAACTGATGCTGATTGCACAGGTCTTGTATATTCAATGCTAAGTCTTGGAGAGCAAACAATGCTGTCCCCCCCCCCTGCCTTCGTCACGTATTTCAACGCTGTCATGTTGTCGCTGTAAATATTGAGTGTGGTGTGTTTTACCTTTCTCAAGTGTATGAGGATGGCGTAATATATCGTCTTCAACCCTCTCACGTTGATAGATTTGTCTTTTTCTGTGGAAGTCCAATACCCTGTGGTTTGCACCATGTCGGAGGCTACTCCCCATCCTACGTCTGAGGCGTCCATGTAAATATTCAGTTGGGGTTCCTAGAACTTTATCTTGTGAATAGGCAGGCCATTCTTTGTTACTAGGTAGGTCTTCCACCAAGCTAATTATTCTTGTGCTTATGTCGACAATGGACATGGTTTGTCCCATTTTTTACGGTTTAACAGTAAGTTCTTGACCAGGTCCCTTTGCAAATGTCGTATGTGAAGGAGGGCTTCTCTTATCGCCGGGATCACGGCCGTCATCTTTCCCAACAGACTGGCCATCCACCTACATGATCTGATTGCTGTTTGATTCGCTTGTCTTACCCGTTGTAAAATTTTGTTTATCTTTATGATGGGTAGTGAAATGGTCATCGTCTTCGTATTGAATGAGAAGCCGAGGTATTCCTGAATCTTCTTTGGCTCTGGTACACTCTTTTGCCTGTTTATCAAAAAGCTTAACCTCTCCAGATGTGTCGTTAGGATCTGTATGGAGTGTTGCATCCGTTCTTTTGACTTCTCCGATACGCAGATGTCGTCTAAGTAATAAATCAATTGTAGCCAAAGGGCTATCAAATGTTTGATTGCATATCTCATTAGTTTGGAAAAAACGTGGGGTGCAATACTTAGCCCAAACGCCAGAGAAGTATATTGATACACGATATTATTGTTTTCGAATGTCAAATATGGCTGGGAGTCCTTGTGTATCGGTACCACTACATACGCATCCTTGAGATCGATCTTGCATATATAATCTTCTTTCTCGATGATGTCTTTCAATTCCGGGATCCCCTCCATTTTGAAATGTTGGATTTGCAAGAATTGATTCAGTGTTGTAAAATTTAGGGTTGATCGACGTTTGGTCGCTTCATGGATGGTAAAAAAAATGTGGAGAGGAAGTCCCGGTTCTGTGTAGGAGATTGTGTTATAATGCCTGCTTGTAGGAATTCTTCCACAGCAGTATCTACCGCCAACTAATCGCTGGAGTCCACCTTCAAGGGTTTGGTTCTCCATGGTGACGGGGCTCTGGCAAATTGCAATTTGTAGCCTGTCTCTACTACTGATATTGGCCACGTATGCGTTGTCATGTCTTTCTAATGTTTCTTGAAGAGTTGGAGCCCTCCTTCAGACAATATCCCGTCTTGTTGAATTGAGTAATGTGATGGTTTTTGTGTTGGGAGTCGATGTTGAATTGCTTGTTTGTCTTTTGATGTCTGCTGATAATGGATCATATTGAGAGTGTGTTGTTGCTTAGTGGCGTCAATTACTAGTTGCTGCTGTCGTTTGGGGTTGATCTGGGAGTGGACTCTTGGAAATTGCTGGACTGGTGTCCTCTCGACAGTGTCCAGTTGCCTTGTCCTCTCCCTCTGTTGGATAAAAAAGGACGCCTTCCTCTATATTCACTGGCTCCCCTTCCACCACCTCTGCCTCTAGTGGAGTTGAATTTATTGTGATTGTTTGCTCGGTGGGCATCTCTGGCGTCTCCAGGTGTTTAAGGCTGTGTGGTAATCTAAGAGCCTTGGCTGTGTGTTCTCTTGCTTCAATATCTTGCTGCCTGGCTGTACCGAAGCCGAAAACCGCAATTCGGCGTGCTCTTTCCATGTTGTCATGGTAGAATCCTTCATCTTTTTTGTGCACACCTCGTTCAATTATGTATTGGGGGCTTTCATAGATTTCAGCTGCTGCTCTCGCCTGAACTCTTTTATTTTCTGTAAGTTTGTAAATGGCGGAAATGAGTTGTAAAGAATCAATGTTCCATAGCTTGAGTTGGGTGACGAAGTTTGGATTTGTACTTCTGGGAGTGTTCCAGTCTTCATTGTTGTACCGAGGGACTGACCGCTTGGACTTTTAAATAGTCTTGACAAGCTCAAATGAGCTGTAATCGTCCAATTCTTCAATAATCTGGGTAGGGATATCGAATCCTTTGCTTCTCTGTTCTTATTCGTCTACTTGAGACTCTCTGACTCGTCTAGTTACGGCTGCAACAATCTCGTCAACTTGGGCTTTTGTAAATACTATTTGTTCCACATTTTTGTTGTTTTCTTGATCACCCATAATTTGTATCCACGGCACGCGGCTTAGAAAGATCTAAGGGAAAAGGGGTAGAGAAAACATTTTATTCCTAATACTTTGCCTCCCAATGACCATTCTGAATTGCTACTGCCAATTGACCCTTTGATCGTAGATTGCAAGCCATTCGTTGGAACCCTCCAAACCGAATGTAAACGCCTATCAGACTTTGTAACAAACCGATTTCGAGAGGCATGCCAGGATCACACTCAATTTCCTCTTGTGCCTCTCCCTTTGCAAGCTAAACAATGGCGTTCCTTTTGAGCCTTTCCGATCGATCACATCTACCGGAATATATTATATCGGGCTATAATTAATTCCCTGTCATGTCAGTATACTCTCCACAGTTGTGCTCCGACCATCATTGTCACTCCAAACTGTCCCATTTGCTTTTTCGAGGTGTCCACTCTCTCTCTCATTTTCTCTACCAGTGCCCACAGAAATGGACAGTATGGGAAAATGCATGGATTAAATACTTTGGACTATCCCCGTTGACATTTGATATCCATCGCACACTATTCTCTCTGAAAGTCCCTGGCCATTCACTACCTGTCTTTCATGTCCAGCTATGTCAAATAATTAGCAGCAGCATCCTGGCCCTGTGGGGCACTCACTGGAGCTTTATCTTCAACAACAGGCCTTTTCAGACCTCTTCGATTAACTCTAAAATAGACACCCTTGTTTCGCACTTTTCCTCTGAATTAGACTTAACATAGGTTTCCCTTAAATCTCTATTTATATTCTCCCCAAACCAAAAAACAATTGTGTTCCTTTCTTAACGCATAATAAATATAAGGACCAGTTCCTCTTTACAACAAAAAAATCATATTAACTGAAAATAAAGCATGGCCCAGAGAGCTTGTACCACTTCGGAATCTGAAGCGGAAGCAACAAGTAGTGTATTTGGAACGACACGATTTAGATGCTTGAATAGTTGTTTAAATAGTTGTAAGATGGAGGAATTGCAAGTTTATTTTTTCTAAAAAAATAAACCCGCAATTTCTCCATCTTCCAACTATTAGAGGGTGTCGAGTTATGATATTTCTTCTTTTTTTTTTTATGTATTGATACTACCGACGCCACAATGCGCGGCCTTTGAAAATAAAATTTGAGAAATATAGAGTTAAAGGAGAGGAAAGAAAGAAATATGAATGCTAGTTAAGTGGAATTGAGGTCATGGGATCTATGTATGGCTGTCACTGCCTTAGCTGCAACTACACTGGGGAGGAAGAGGGAGTTGTCAAAGACAAATGTCCAGTGCGCATGCCAGATGGTGTGAACCACGATGGATGCATTCGCAATCTGGAGAGAGGAGGAAACGAAAGGAGAAAGTCGAGTACGAGTGAGAAGCCAGGGAACGTCAGAAATGGACCAGAGCTGACACATTTGCCGCAGTACCAATGTCCACACAGAAAACTTGCGAGAGCAGGAGAATACGAAATGTTGGAGAGAGTCCACCGCAGAGAGACAGAGGGCACATTTCGGACTAGAAAGGAAAGAGGAGGTGCGGTTGAATACGAACTCAGTGGTTGGGGCCCTTTGTCATAGGATTTTCCACCAGAGAGAACGTGTGTTTTGTGTCATGGACCACCGCCAGAACAATTTCCAGGAAATATCAGCGTGAGGTATAGAGGAAGTAGACGTGAGGAGGTGACGTCGGAGGGAACCAGTCAAAGCCTTGTGGAGAGGGCGACCGTCGATTTGAATGAGGGAGACAAGGGAGAAAAGGCCGTCCACTGGTCGAGGTGAATCTGGCGAGGAGGGGGAGAGCAAGGAAATAAACCACGGCCACAGAACGATTTTGGCGCCATCAAGATGGCGAAAGAAGGCGATAATGCGGTTGCGGGCATGCCGTATGTCGTGGGGAGGTATCCGACAGAGGCCACCTCGGGAGTCGATCATGAAGGCGTGCTGGACGTAGATGCCTTTATTCCAGCGAGTTATTGAGAAAGGAGGGAGAAATGTCCAGATGGCGTGCAACGGAAGAGCGAGAGCGGTGGCGGGAGAGAAGCGGGCTGATAGAGGAATGGTCGAGGGAAGGAAATCTTTACTAGTGCGTAAGAGTAGCTGTAAAGGGAGAGGAAATGTAGAGAGATATGGAGGGTACAGAAGTGTGATTACAGGGAAGGAGATGGAAAGTGAAGTTGAAAAAAGAATGTGAGGTAAGGAAAGATGTACTGAGACCGAGCATGCGAATCCCGAAGGATGGGCAAGGTGCAGCGAAGTTGTAGGACCTTTTGTTGGCTCTCAGGGTCCAGGAGTCCCAAACCACCCTTGCGTTGTGGCTGACAAAGAAGATCCCATAAAGGGCTACCAAACCCGAGGGAAGGGTAGATGCGGATGGACTTGCAGATAGCAGTAAAGAAAGAAGGCGGTCCAGGCATAACGTATAGAACGTGCCAGATGGTGTTGAGGAGGAGGGGGTTAGCGTACAGGCTCTTATCACGGACACACAGGTGGCGTTGTGCTAAGACAAGACAGTGACGGGGCGGATGAGAGAGACAGAATCGGACGAGGAGAGGCGATCGGACGAGAGTAAGCACTGTATGAGATCGTGAGCGGTATCAAGGCCAATGAGCTCAGCAGTGGACAGTGTCTCGTAGAATTGGCCTGTGTATGTGAGCAAGGCAGAGGTGGAAGTGACAATTTTCCCCAGATTCGGGGTCACGGAGCGAGGTAATGGAGCGTGCAATCGTACGAGATCGGATAACCCTATAGAAGTATGCGTTAGACTGCTCATCAGATTCCGTCCATTGCACGCTGGCTCGTTGTGCCAAATTGGCTGTCTTGAACTCCTGGAGGCGGGCGAGTCTGGCTTCAGTTTTGGCCAAGTCGGGAAGCGAAGGATTGCGAAATATGGGGTGGCGTTCACTGCACAAGGACCTTTCGACTGTCTTGCACTGGCGGGCGAATTGTTTGGCATATGTAATCGTGAAATTCTTGATTACCTGTTTGAGCGTATCCCATCGAGGGGCGACGGATTCTGTGGCATCGAGGGAATCAACAGCCGTGTCAAGAAGTCGGTCAAGGTGAGAAATAAATTCGTCATGTTCAAGGAAGGTGGTGTTGAATCGTCATACCCCTGATCCTGAAGGATGCTGTAGCGTGAGTAATACGGTCAAGAGGCTATGGTCGGTCCATGCTGGGTTAAGGAAAATGATTTCGGGTGAAGTGGTGGTCAGGGCTGGATAGCGAAAAATAAAATCGATGAGCGTGCGTTGACGGCCATTGTAGAAGGTGGGGATTGGTGATATGCTGGGAGCTGTGAGGTATTCGGGATTGATTTTGGGTTAGTATCTCAATATTAGAAAAATAGATACTGTGAGAGTGATATTTATTAAAGAGACGAAATAATGTTGTTTATATCTGTTACCATTCAAATCCCTGTTGTGTAATGGTTGATTTACATTGTATGAGTGTGTAGTATACGTGTGCCTGGTATGTAACGGTTCCGGAGATTGTTAACTTGCCAGGTTCATTAGCAAGAAGGAACCAGTGTTTGGTTGTGGGGTCTGTTCTTCACTCGAATGTGGTGTTGTATACCACACTCTCTATTCAAACAACTATTAAAACGTCTAAGAATTTTGATAGTTGTTTGGAGAGAAAATATATCTATTTTTCAGATTAACGAGAGCCAATGATTTTTCGATATTAAACCTCTGAACTCAAAACAATCAAACATCTAAAACTGCTGAAATATCCTATTACCAGTATATTTTGTTTTATCTTATCTGAAATAATAAACAAGGGAATCCCATATGATTTTCAAGAAAAGGCAGAAAATACAGTGGTCCCTCGATAATTTTAAGGCTCTGAAGACCCAACTCGAAAAATAGGGCTAAACTTTCACGATTTTGTAATAGACATTGATGTCAAGTGCGTTGTGGTGACATATCTAACATTTGGGTTATTGAGTTGTCATCTAACTTAATTCTTTTAAAATAAAACTATATGTGCTATATCTTGATAAAGTTCCATTTATTAATTGCTTAGTAAAAATCACTCACTTGAAAAATATAAATTTAGTTCTAATTTGTTTTGTTATAAAAGTTTTTATTATAGATTTTATTTTATTTGAAAAAGAATAAACTTTAAAAAGACTTTAAGAAGCTGGTGACTTTAGTTTGCTTTGAGTTCGCAGTTTTCTGGAACTTGTTTCGAAGGCCTTCAACCTTACTGACGAAGTCTCTGTCAATATCTTCGTCTTCCAAGATATCCAAAAGCGTGCAAACACACTCAAACTTTTCTGAAGCAGAATAAGTTCTCTTAAAGGAAACTGCTGATTCTACTTCAGCAATTTCTTCATTCTCATAGAGTGGATCTGATCCAGCAATTTTGTCTAGGCTTCCTTGCAAACCCTTGACCAGAACCTTTTCAGCCAGACTTTGCTGAACCATAGCCTGGTTTACATCTATAAATTATATTTAGAATATTAAGAAAGTGGAATTGAAAGATTATACTACTACCTTCACTATCTTTGTCTTCAATGAAGCAGTTTGGTCTTCTTGCACGCCGAATCATCAATACATTGGACCATTTGTCCGTTTCATCGGCATTGCATAAAAGGCCAAAGGTTTCCTTTGCCCATTTAGCCAATTGAGGGTTACTCATAGATGGCTTTTTCTTTTTCATATCACAGATCTCAAGATGATTTGCAATATTAAGCGAAACGGTTTTTTTTTGCTCATTTTTATTGTTTAGTTCTGGATTTGATAGATTTTATTAAAGTATTAAAAAAACTGAAAATGATATTAGATAAGCCTTATATAGTAAGCTAAAAGCATACCAAAAAGCTGTTATTATTTGATTGAATAAGAATTTGAAACAATAATTGGTTACGAGACAGGGGGGTGGAAAACACCAATGCAGCCAGGGGTTATATTTAACTAGAATGAATTTAAACAGAGGATTAAAGCAAATCGTGACGTGTGGTGTAATGTTCAAACACTGGCTAAATTCCAAACGTAGAAAAAATAAAAATAAAAATAGTAAAATAGTAAATAAGAAAATAACGATAAACTCAACAGAAATATTCCCAAAACGTATCGGGCAAAATATAACTGCTCATCAGAGACTCCTTTTATTTTCTCACCAAAAAGAATGATACCAAAAATTGAATGCTCTTTATTGTTGTAATTTTTAACGTCTTTTATAGACAGAAATCTTTGAGATAGAGTTGGGATAAAATATGAATAAGTAATAGAGAGGGTGTCGAGTTATGATAATTTCAAGATGACTAAAAAATAATTATTTGTAAAACCCAATCAAAAAAAAGAATAAAGCTCAGACACAGTTATGAATATTATAAGTTGAAAACATTGATACTAAGAAATTTAGAGGAAATAGACCTTAATAAACTTGACTTTCCAAGGCCTATTTTATTAAGTAAGTATGAAGAAGAGGCTTCTGGCTATCATACATTTTGTTTTGAAGTGGGAAAAATAAGCCCAATTTTTACTAGAAATTTAGTGAGCATTTGAAGTAAAAAATCAGGGATTACCTAACTTTTGGCTTCAAATGCTCACTAAATGGCCTCCACCATGAAATTTGCAAAACAAGTATTGGAATTTAATTCGCCGCGTAAAATAAAAAATTGCAAACATTTGCAATTCAGGCTCGAAGACACCCTCTCTAATATAAAAGGTCTCATTTGAAATAGACATTGGATAATTTGGATATGAAAATAGAATATAACACTGTAGGAAATGGCAGCACTTAAACCCGAACCTGCAACAAAGTTGAACCTGCAACTTTCTTCTAGGCCAATAGAAATCAATGTTTAATAACTCCGGACCTGCAACAAAGTTGCCAACCTGCAACTTTCTTCTAAGCCAATAACATGCCAGACATTAACCCGTAAGCCTTACTTTTGGGCAGATACTATTTATGAGATTTCAGATTATGTCAAATATGATTTATGAAATTTTAGATTATTTTTGAATCTAATCCAATCAAATATTCTAAATATGGCAAGTCTATACCTTTTTTTTTAGGTATCTCTATTCTCATAATTGGCTCAACAAATACACGGTTTTATATTGGACTTTTATAGTTTTTATTGATTAAAATAATACAAGTTGAATATAAAGAAGTATGGAAAGAAGAAGTACTATTTTTTATAATATTTAGTAACAGTTTAAGCTATAAAGTTACTAAATAATATACATATATCTATTTTTATATAATACTTTTCACATTTTTTTTATCTAAAAAAAAGGCTATTGTCTAGATACTATGATATTGATGAAGGTATGTATATTGCTTAATTGATTCTTTTTAACAAAGAGTATAAACCTGCTTTGTGTTAAAATTGTCATGTCTGATTCATACTTTTGAAAAACAAGAAGACAGATTCCCTGCGATTCTCTAAATCCACCGAGATTTCTAATGAGCATGCGAGCAATCTTGACAACCAAATTGTACTTGATGCAAATATTTTTCTGTCAATTTTTCTCAGATTGCTTTCTTTTGTCAACTTTGCTGATTCGTATTTTATTAATACTAGCCTTCATAGTTATTAAGTGTGTTCCTTTTAGAGACTTTTAATAATTTTAGACCTTGTGAAAAAAAAAGAAATAAAGAGAAATAAGAAAAAGACTTTACAGAATAAAAAAAAATATTGCATTAAAAAGCAATCACAGTCCTTCCTTTTTAGTGGCAAAGACTTCTTAAAGTTCAGATTAAAAATATAAGTAATCTTGTAGGCCATGTTTGTCCCTTTACTCAACCTCGTAATCTGTAAGCAGTTTAGCGTACGATATTCACCTAAAATGGCTTTCTGAATTAAAAATCCAAAAAATATATTTGAATTAAATCTCAAAAAACAAAAAAGAGCTCAAAATGCCCTATATTTGGTAGGGTTGTAGGAGTTTAAACAAAGTTACAGGTTTTTTATTGAAAGTTGCCGTTTTTTGGAATTTACGGCAACTTTTTTTCTACAGTGATCGGGTTGTGAAGAGAATCTAACATCCGTCAGTCAATGGAGATTTAAATATATTTCCAAAAAGAGAAGTGGTATTTTTGCTGGTTTTACCAAAATCACCTCCTAAAATACCACCAAAAAGACCATTTTTTTTTCCATAGTGCGAGTATTTTTTTACTTTACTTTATTTGCTTTTGAAAATAGTCTCTCATAAAATATTACCTAAATCTCGCCCCCGATTGCTTTCAATATGAAAGAAGAATATTCAGCCTTGCCAAATCTAAACTCGCCATATTCTTAATAAAGTTCGTATTCCCAGCAGTTTTCTACTTCCTCTTCATAATACAAGTCGTGATCATTTAAAGGTGAGTTGATGTTGTTCAACTGAAAAATTTTAAAACATTAAAGTGAAATATCGATGTTTTCAATTGAGAGTGCCAGTGTTTGTACCGAATATCCCAGTCGTCAAATTGTACACATATGTATAGAGCCATTTGAGATTGTGGCTTTCAACTATAGGGTACACTATGAATGAAATTGGTGTGTCAATAATACTAATCTGCATAAAAATCAGTGGTTAGCATTATTAGGAAGAGTAGGAATATTGCCTTTTCCATAGATTGGTGCAACAGTACTGCTTCAAACACGCAAAATAAAGGCATTGAAGTGGCTGAGATATACTACTTCTTGTGGAATACTGAGAGGGTACTCCAAATGTTTCGTCTGAGCCTCACGGTTTGGAATTCGTTCTAGACAGGTGCTATCTGAACACAGCTAGAAATAATTTGAGGCTTGTTTTAATTCTATCGTACCTTTCTTTAAAGCAAATGACTATATTTAGGAATGAGTAGAAAGACTATCAGAAACTAGACTTAATGTAAAGCTGACAGCCTTAAAATAGTTTAATTTACATTTTTGGTCGGTTATATAGAATACAGTGTATTAATAAAAGTTTAAAAAAATAATAAGACGAAAGAAAAATACCAATGAAGAAAAGGTAACATTAAGAAGTGTAATTTTTGCTTGAATGTTTTTTGATTTTTAATTTTTATTATGTAAGAAACATTCTACCCTCTGTTACTGGACTATATTTAATCGGATTTCTGGCTAAATTTCATGTATTCTATAAAAACTGAAAATGAAGACGCTAGGAATAATATTATCAGTCTACCACAGCTAGCCAAATGCCTTGAGACAAAATATTTCTGGGGACTATATTTGATGTTTGATTTTGATTGCTATCAGCACATCTAGTAAGAGTCATTTTAATTTTAAGTTGATTTGATTATATCCTCATAATCAAACATTCACTCCGTGAACACCTATATACTGAAATATATCCTAATTATAGTGTACTCAGTGTATATCGTAGTATTTGTATTCCATTTCTAAATATGTTCTTTCGAGTTATCACTTTGTGAGTACCTATTGTAACACTTGAAAATAGCACACAGCTAGTATGTTTTCCGAAGAAGCTTAATATTGTTATAATATAAAAACAGAAAGAAACCGTTCCCTTTATTTCTTTACTCTTCTATATACATTATTCCTGAATTTCTATACTGTGGAATGTTTTTACACAGAGTACCATTTATTTTATGTATCCTACTATTGACATTTACATCTAAATGCTACTCTCCACCGATCCAACAAGATGATATTCAGACTATTCGTCAATTGCCTCAAGTTTCAATTTTACGAACTATTCTTATCGGTTACTTGGCATATTCATTTACCATTCGACCTTTAGCCACTATCCGTATATAGCATACCTTTGTTTACCGTATTGTCGTATTTTTATTTCCTTCCAGCGGAATTGGCATTGCATTGGGGTCTATATACAAGTCATATTATGGAGATGAGATATTAAATATCGACCAATACAAACCCTTTTTGGAGCGTTACGATAGAGAAAGGAAAGAAGAAGAAGAAATCGACAAAGCCAAAACTAAGAGTAACGAAATTGTACAAGATACAACAAATGCAGTTTCTCCAGGCTCCACAGAGACAGATTTTTCAGAATATTCAAGCACAGCTTTGCCAGACTCCATCAAGACAGCTTCTCCAGGACCCATAAGCACAACTTTACCAGACATCATTAAAATAAATTTGCCTGACTATATAGAGATAGATTCCCCAGACTCCATAAAGACAGCTTCAATGAGTTCATTATCATTACGTCTGGCTGATTTAATTGCGCTCGAAAATAATTTCAAAGATACGGAAGTTGATAACGGATTTTCAAAAGTTGCTCATCTAAGAGATCGACTAGAACAAGATGCCGGTGTAGAATATGGAAAAAAACTGAGCAATAATTCTCTTGAAGAAAAAAGTAACGCAGCATACCTAGCAGCATTTTTACACACAATGGGGCCTCGAAGAGCAAAGAAAATTAAACATTGTATCCTAAATGGCTCCATAACCTTGGGGAGTAACAGAGAACCCCGTTGTAAAAATAATGCTGTGTATACCAGTACCGCATATCTTACTGTTAGTGGTCCAGGGGCAGCCTGTAAATTTCAATACAAATTTGACTTAAATGATGCCGAATTTATGACGGACGATATGATCAATTCGCTCGAGACGGCTCACAATATAGACGACACCCCATATATTGAAATATTCATCACAATTGTACAGCTTTTTTTACGACGATTGAATGCATAGAGCCAAATATAGACAGATGGGTCAAGGTTTTTATCATTATATACACAATAATGTCAGTGCTTCAGACAGCTTCTCTCATTGCACTGCATAAACAAACAGCAATGCTTAGCCTCTCAAGCAGCCCCAGCTTTTACGGTGCTACATATAATGACGACCCATATCATTTACTTATGAAGGCGTTCGTGTATAACAGAAAATATGGAGTCGGGTTTTTTTCTTTGCAGGAATAATATCATTCTTTCTGCTTGGTATATGGGCGGATTATAATAGACATAGTATAACAGAATGGCTTGTACTCTCATGGATTGTTAGCCCTTTCTTTTTGACCTTATTAATGGGTTTTACATTTTGTTTTCTGGAAGAAAGATTATGGTTAATAGCAGGAATTAGCTTGGTACTTGTTCCCACTGGACTTTTTATTTCTGCTACAATTATTGGATATTTGCCAAAATAATACTGTAATTTTTTTCTTTATATTTCTTTTTGTATATAATAAGAAAAACATCTACATTAACATTGTTAACAGAATACTTTCTTTATTTTAATTGTATTTTCTAGCTTTGTTACTTACAACTTCCAAAAGGCGTGTACCTTCGAGACACTCAATAACATTTATATTTATTTATTATCCTATATGTATGTATTTATGTATTTATCTGTGTGTATTTATCTATATGCGTTTCAATTGCATAAACCGTCGGGATAAAAGTGAAAGAAGAATAAATAAGAGTGTTATAGTTGTAATATTTATATATCTGGCTTTTCATTCAAGCATTTTTAAAGAAATAAAGAAAATTCCAAGGTATATACGCAAGGTATAGTTTCCATTAAGAAACTTATGAGACCTCTCATTTTATTTTTTATTAGCTTGGCCATAACAAAAAAATATGGGCCTTTGAAGAAAAAAAGCCCAAAAGCGTTAATAGGTATCTCTTATTGAGTCACAATAATCACCGAACCTTTTATTTGGTATAATATACAAGCAATTGAGAATATTTTTACCTAAATACTAACACATGGTGGGTTGGTTATGTGGTGCGAATGTCCAGCTCGGTAACAAGAAAATGAATACGGGTAGAAAGACAATTTTATAAAGGAACAAATAAAAAGAGATATTTAACTACTTTCAGGCCATTTCTACAGCTATGTTACTACAATTAAGGTGGGTACTGTAACTTTAGAATCCAATTCCAATAATGTTGTACTCTCCACCAAAAACGAATATCTGGTCTCTGACTTCTCTAGTATTGGCGCTACCAACGAGCTCGCTCTTAAGCTTAACCTTGCTGGCATTGGAGGTGGAATTTTCTCTGCGCTTCCTCGTTTTCTCGGAGGTTGATGCGAGATTTCTAGTACCTCAATGGCTGCTTCTTACATCTCTGGGTCTGTTGCTTTGTTTATTGAAACAAAGGGCTATAAAAGAAACAATTATGTTATTTCCCAGTAATTAAAGAACTATGCTCTCAAGCTTGTGCACACCAAGGGCAAAAGTGCAATCAAAAACCCTCTTCTTCAAGGTGCCGGTCTTGTGCGGCTCTACGATGCCATTACAGGAAAAGTCCAAGTCTCTCCCATCCAGATTAGCTTTAATGATACCCCGTCTTTCGCTAAGTACAAGACCCAGACTCTGACTATCCACAACACTGGAAAGATCCGCACTACATTCAAGGCCATCAATGTGCCCTCTGTCGCTATTTCTTCTTACAGATGCTTAAAATACGGCTACAGAACCATTGGGCCTGTTGACTTCGTTAATACCAAGACCAAGAAAGCTATTGGAAATGTTGTGACTGATCTTACCTAAACCGGGACTTCTTTGACAACTTTGACCAATCAAAAGCTCCCTGGGATGGTACCTATGTCTCTTTGTCGTTTTCTGGTATTCAAGACAAGATCCCAGTACCTTCCGGAACTTATACTCTCAACTTAAGAGCTCTCGGGCTGTTTGGAAACCCCAATAATCCCAAAGACTGGGAGACTCTTCAAAATGGGGCATATTACTGTAAAGCATTAATTTAATAAAAAACCATCTCTTTTTTTTTTTAAAAAAAAGGTGTATCTTTTGATCTTTTTTTTTTTTTTTTTTTTTTTTTTTTAGTATTTTATTGATCTGCTGTCACGCTCTGCGTGCAGCTTTTAAAATGCCATCAAAGTGGACTTAATTGAACAGATAAGAGATAGAGGGACAAGGGGGAGGAAATACGAAAATATAAGAAAAAAACGGAATGAAACAGGAGAGGAAATTAGACAGGAAATACTTAAGCTAGTGTACCGATGTGTTTTTCTATTACAGTGGACGCTTTTTGTGCCACAACGCCTGACAGAAAGGGTTGGTCATCAAAAACAAATTTCCAATGAGCACTCCAAATCGCTTTAGCAGTGACAGCGGAAAGGATAATCCAAAGGCCTTGATGGGAGGAACGTGGTGGGAAGCTGCCTCTGGTAAGGAGAAGGCAGATTTCAGCAAGGTTCCAGGCCGGGCAAAAGCGAGAGAGAATGACATTCCACACCTGCCGTTTGATAGAACAGCCAAAGAAAAAGTGATACTGATCTTCAGTAGCATCTTGACAAAAGATGCAAGATGAGCTGGGGAAGCGTCGAGGTATAAATAGATTGAGACGTTTTCGGGTTGGCGTTCTATCCCAAAGCATTTTCCACCAGACTGTGCGACAGTGGTGGGGTATAGAGACAGACCAGAAGTTACGCCATTGGACAGACGAATTTAGAGATGAGGGCACTTGCGGGCGAAGATGGCGTCGAAGAGATCCGGTGCTAGCTTTACCCAATCTAGTGTTGTCCAACCGTACCAAAGAAAGAAGTGAGGAAAGATCGGGGGAAGGGGTGTCAGTAGAAGGTCGATGTTCAAGGCAAGAGATAAACCAAGGACAGAGGACCATCCTGCCAGAATCAATCTGTTGGAAGAAATGACCGATACGATTACGTGCCCGAGAAAACGTACCACGAACCTTGCGGACAAGACGGTCATCAGTCTCCAGAGAAAATGCGTCAGAAACCAGAATTGTTTTCAGGTTCAGAGAAGAGTCAACAAAGGGTGGCACGTTCATCCATATTGAAGTTAATGGGAAGTGTTGGACCACAGTTGGCGGCAATTGCAAGTTGGATGGGAGAGAAGCTGGAAGAAGTGAGGTACAAGCGCGATGCAGTGGAAGAAGTGAAGTCGGGCAAGTTGCACTACTACAGGGAAACAAAAGTGCGATACTGGCAGAAGGAGCGCGAAAGTTTAGAGGAAGTATAAATTCGAGGTATGGCAGTATAAAGGAAGTAGAAGAAAAAGAGTGAGAATGCAAGATAGGGAGAATCCAGCGCAATTGAAGAGCTCGTTGTTGATGATCAGGATCAATCAGGCCCAAACCGCCTGATTTGCGTGGCAGACAGAGAAGCGGCCAGCCAGGGCTACCGAAACCTAGTCGCAGGAACGAGCGAATATGAGTGCGAATGGCAGCAAAGAAAGATAGCGGTGCAGGAGTCACGTATAGCATATGCCATACTGAGCTGAGAAGAAGTGAGTTTGCCACAATACTTTTACCACGAACGGACAAGCATCTTTGAGAAAGTAGCGTGCAATGGTTCCTAAGCTTGACCAGTAAAGCCGCACGGAAGGTCTCAAGCTGGGACGGATGTGAGCTCAATGGGAAGCCTAGGTAACGGATGGCAGTGGCGGAGTGACGGTCATGTCGACTGTGAATATCAGCAGCATCCAATACAGGGCCCCAATCCGGATGAAATTGTCCAGACATAGCAACAGCAACTGTCTTATGGAGATTGACTTTCGCGTTAGAGGCTAAGCCAAATATACGCAAAAGGTTGAGTAGACCACTCATCTCGGCAGGCAGAGAAAGAAAGACGAGAAGGTCATCGGCATAAGCAAGAAGTTTGAGTGGAGGTGGTGAGAGCTCAGGAGAGGACGATGAGAGAGATGGCGGAACCAGAAATCGGAAACCACGGATGGCAGGAGAAGCGAGAATGGATCTAAGCAAAGGTTCGAAGGCCAGGTTAAACAGCAAGGGGGAGAGAGGATCACCTTGACGTAGCCCCCGGCTTTGTAGAAAAGAAGAAGATATGTGCCCATTCACATTCACGTGGATTTGAGTAGAAAAGAAGAGACCACAGATGGAGTCAACAAAAATTGTGGGGAAACCGGCTCTGGCCAGGACAAGACGAAGATACGCAGGGTGGACACGGTCATAGGCCTTCTCCTGATCCAAAAGAAGGGCAACACATGGGTCTTGGGTTATTTGTGCATGTGACATGGCAAGGCGTGTCAGCAAACCATTGTCAGCAATAAACCGATCTGCCATAAAACCCGTTTGGAATGGTGTTATGAGTGTGTCGATACCATATCGTAAACGGGACGTAAGCATTTTGGTGAACAACTTGGCGTCACAGTTTATAAGAGATATGGGTCGCCAGTTGCGGAGAGAGGTAGTGTCACCGGCTTTTGGTAGGAGAACAAGTACGGTTTCCAGCCAAGATGGAGGAAAAACACCATGCAATGCATTATTATAGACTTGAACTGCAAGATTTTGGACCGTTGGGTGACAGAAGAGCCGAGCCCATAATGGGTAGGGCAAACCATCCATCCCAGGACTAGAGTTGATGGGGGTGGCTTTAAGGACAGACAGAATGTCATCCAAGGTGACATCAGCAATGAGGTAGGCAGAGTCAGTGGAAGACAGACGGGCAGAAGGTGGGAATTTGTCGATAAGAGAGTGTGCAGCAGGATAGTCAATGGGTTCCGGCGAGTAAAGAGATTGGTAGAAAGAGCGAGTATGGCCAAGCAAATCCGCGGGAGAGGTGTAGATCGCGCCAGTGACAGGGTCGACAAGAGAGGAGATAGTTTTTGCAGCGGTTCGCTGTTTGAGCACACGAAAGAAATATTTCGAAGAAGTCTCGCCAGCTTCACACTATTTAGCACCAGATCTGGCAGCCAAGGTGGAGGCCCGAGACAATTGTATGGTGGCAAGCTCATGTTCAATGCGGAGAAGTTGAGGAGAACGAGTATGAATTGCAAGTTCATTTCGAGCACGATGAAGATGGCGTTCCTGATTTCGGAGTTGACGTTGAACTCGTTTAGAGTACGTTAGGGCGAGCTGTTTGATAGCATGCTTAATATGATCCCACCGAGAACCGGGAGACATGTCAGGAGAGAGAAAAGAGTCGGCCTTATCCAGAAAGTCGGTAATGAGAGCATCAAATTCATCATGCAGGAGATATTGCGTATTAAACCTCCAGACTCCAGGACCTGGTGGGCGAGAGAAAGGAATGGAGACCGCAAGAAGGCAGTGGTCAGTCCATAAAGGATTGATAAATGTTACCTCAGGGCGTTCGGTAACAATGCTGTGTGGACGGAAAATGTAGTCGATGCGTGTGCGGGTGCGAGAGCTGTGGAAAGTGGGTAACGGGGGTGAAGAAGAATTAGTGATGGCATCCACGCAATTACCCTGAATGTATCCTTTCCAGTCCGGTGGATGGCTGCGACGATGGCTAAGATCACAGTTAAAGTCCCCCAGAATAAAGGCGGGCAGGGAAGGAATGACAGTAGGGAGAGTGCGTGCTAATGAGGAGAAGAAAGTACGCCGGTGGGAAGGAATGTTGGGTGCATAAATAACCACAACTACAAAAGGATTAACACGATGGTCGGTATGTGTAACCTTGACAACGAGTGCACGGTTGTCAGGAGAAACATGCAGTTGAGATAATTGGAGGAGGGGATCGAAAGAGACGAGGCCGCAATGTGGGGTCCATAGGCTGGCCTGTGCTTGGAATGTAAGGTGAATAGATGAGTGATGTATAGGGAGTAAATGAGTCTCTTGGAGAGCAAGTAATGAAAGGGAAGGGGAAAGGGTACGAAGGTGTCGGATGAAAAGAAGTTTTGGGGATTGCGGGTTATTGATGGTAGAGAGGAGACCTCGAACATTCAAGGTTCCTATGCGAAGATGTTGTACAGTCATTTATGAACTTGGCTGACCTGAGCGGTCAGACTTTTCAGTTCCATCAGTCATAGGTGTGTTACCATCCAGATCAGTATACGGGAATGCACCTTGGGCGCGAGTCCGGAGAGTGGCCTCAAAAAGAGACTGTCGAAGTTCGTCATCAGTGTAAATTGCTGGGTTAATGCCATCATCGCGACTATGTAGGCCTCGGGCGCCTGGTGAGTGCTTGCTGGCATTGAGCCCACGGCCAGTCGGGTCATACATAGTTGTATCAAATGGAATTGGGGGATTGTCGTTGTGTGGGGTCCGGTTTCTGGTCGTCATGGCGCGAGTATTCATCACTGATATGGAACGGCGACGTATTGTGTGTGTAGCAGGTGGGTTGAGAATGGGTGAAGCATGGGTAGGAGTCAAGGTTGGTGAAGTGACTGGTGGTACGGGTGTCTCTATCATAGCGACCGAGTATTGGTGTGCGCGAAGGGACGCAGTATCGGCAAGTGCAATCTGCTGCTGCTCTTGGATAGCCCGCTCGGCTTCGATATTGTCTGGATGAGTGGGGCACTCGCGACTGTCTATGGCGTGACCAAAAACACCGCATCGTTGGCAGCGAGGTGCGCGGGGAGGACGTTTTGTGCAGGAGCGTAGATAATGCCCTTCCTCTCGGCAGTATCCACACACAGGTGTGATATCGGTGGAGCGGAGCTCAGCAAGGCAGGAAAGAGACCCACCAAGGTGGAGACGGCTTGGGAGACTGCGGACTTCATCTTGTCCAGAGGTGTCTAAATAGATAGTGGCTTCGCCACGGAAAGTACCACGGTGTGAGAGATAAGCTCTCAGCTGAACGATTTTGCCAAAAGGCCGGAATGCATTTTCGATGGGCTCGAGTAGATCTGTGCTAGGATCGCAGGCGTTAATACGGTAAAGATTAACCTTAACAATGTGGCTGTTAGAAGGCAATCTTGGTGTAGCAATGATTCGGGTGTTCTGATAGGTCAACCCGTCGGACGTTGCTTTGGTGCGGGAGGAAGGGTTAGTAAAGAAGGCTTCTGCCAGAAGGTCTTTTGAGCGAGTATAACGGAGAGTGAGAGAGGTCATCCGGCCTACACAGTCAGAGAGAACATCATCCACGTCCCTTGCGGGAACGAGTTTTCCGAGATTAAACAAGACACTCATTGGATGGATGGTACTAGCCCATGCAGCGGATGCAAGATCCACAATCATATTCTTGTCAAAGTTGGGAGCAGTGAAGATGTGCAAAGATTTGTTCTTTGGACGTAGTGTTGTAGACTGGGCACGGTTAGGTGGGTTACCTTGCCGTAACGTGTGTGCCCTGTCCTGTGGGTTCAATCCCTCAGGGGTACTCATGTCAGAAAACGTTAATTGGTATTAACTTGTGTCGGTTATATGAATTTCCGTAAAACTATTCTTTAGCGGAGAAAAAAGCCTGATCTTTTGATCTTTTACAAATTTTTTAATAAAATAAAATAAAACACAACCCATTTTAAATGATTCCATGTACAAACAATTCTGAGGCTTCTTTGCTTGTTAGTTCTTAGAGGATCTACAGCGGTTTGCATAAATTCAATAAACAGGTAAATTTATTTAGAAAACTTAGATTTTTTCATCCACAGTGGTTTGTCTAAATATTGGTATACAGATCCATTTTTTTAATAAGTACATATGTAATTTTTCAAAATCAATTTGATCATGTTCTCTTGAATATCTTTTGTATGAAATATTGTTCCCTGTTCTCGGAACGAATTCCTGAATATGTTTTGAACGTTATATAGATTCAATACAATAGCTCAGATAGGCACACCCTTTAAATTTATGGCCTCTTTATACTCGAATTATCCAGAATTATCATTTAAACCAATATGCTTTGTGGATAATACAAACGATATCTCTCTCTTTCTATTTACTCTGATTTCTTTTCATACTAATTGTAGAGAGACGAAGCTTGATATTATTGGATATTTTGAAACATTCTATACTGAATATGTTTGCACCGTTTGTATCTGACTACTGCCGTTAGTGGCAAATTGAATCTTCAGCTAGCAAGCTGTCAATATTTCAATAAAATAACTGTCCTGGCTTGGACCAGAGGTTTGATTCTGCTAGATCAAAAAGTAAATTAATTGACCTGTGCACTCTTCAAAATGGTTTGTCACAATTAGTCATGGGCTGTAAAAAAAGGACACTCTTAGGCGCACCTTGAAACAAAATAGCTCTCGATTGTCATCCATTGTTACTTACCTGAGTTTGTCCTTTTTTTTTCCTTCCTTAGAAAAAGGATACTGTGTTACGAAAGCTAAATTTACAATGTGTTAGTTTGTTACATGTTCACGGCACAATACTTTTATTAAATTAAAAGAAGAATATCAAATCAACGGCTTGAACTGGTCATAGCTATTTGATATAAATACATTTATACATGAGTATGTTACTTTGGCAGAATCTGTATATTTACCGTTTTTCTACCTTGTGTTTTGTATGTGTGGATATCTGGCTGCGTCTTGTACATTTTTATGGTTACCTTAATGATTCAAAGGTAACCGGATTTGTAAATCACATCATCAGTTTGTCGTGATAAGGTTTTTCTTCTTCTGACTGCTAATTTTAATTTTATCAACGTTTATATATATATTTCAATATTATTTTCTTGGTTTTTCCCTTCTTTATCTCTTTCCCTCTTTATACAATTATTATCATGAGATTCTCAGAACTACCGTTCGAAATCCTTACGCAGATTGCTGATCATCTAGCGGCAACGGATTATCTTTCTTGTGCTTTGGTGTGCAAGGGATGGAGATACTCATTTCAAAAGGCTCTATGGAGAGATATACAGATTTATACTTATCACGGCATGCAAAAACTTATCGACAGTATTAATTCCTCCAAAGATGTACCTACAGTACACGGCAGCTGGATTCATAGTCTACGCACAAATACTTGTGACAATAACCCAGACATAACAGAGATGCAATTCTCTGAATTATTCAGACACCTACCGAACTTGAAGAGCCTAGATTTACGGGATAGAAGTTATAAAGATATCTACACACCGATAACAAGATCATACGAAATATGGAAATCTCTGGAAGTTTTAAAAACACAATCCAAAGGAACCAAGGAGATACAGTCAGCAAAGAATCTACTTGAACTTATAAATACATGCAGCATGCTCCAGGAATTAGAAATACTTAAGGAAGGATCGGGCTATCGCACGGAGTTTTGCATAGACGACTTTGACAGCATCCACCAAAACTTGCAAAACTTATCGTCAATCAGTGCTGGAATATACCTCAGTTCTGAATTTTCTACTGCATTGGACGCAATTCCAAACACAACACCAGCTTTTACCATGACATCCCTAGATATAAATTCAAAAATATATAAACGTTTAAGGAGAATGGGAGCTGACAACCGGAGTAACTGGAATCCTTTGTGGCTGTACTATTTTGGATACAAGTATCCAAACTTGCGTTCCCTAAAGCTCCATGTCACAGATACACGGCATAAAACAATATATTCGGACCAGAGGAAAGCATTGGTATCTCTTTTTCAATCCAATCCAAACGCATTTCAGCATGTAGAATCATTCGAACTTACGAACGACAAATATTTCGAACTTTTTGACTTTGTTTTATGGGAATTGTTTTATGTATTAAAAGTTCCTCTTAAGCATTTGTCCTTGAATGCAAGAAGCAGAGGTTTCCCTGACAACTCATGCCCTATGAGCCTCGACAGAATCTTACAGTCCTTTTCTGAAACACTCAAGAGTCTTTCACTTTCAGGGTTTATACTTGAATCTGTGGGCCGAGCCAAAGGTCTAGAATTATCTTCTTACTATCCTCTTTTGACAAACCTTTATATCAATAGCAGAGTTGGGCATCTTGATCTGGATGATCTATTGGATAAACTTGTGGCCCTCAAAGAACTAAAGCTTTGTTGTGCAACATTGCTTAATAATCCAAAAACGACAGCCGATAAGTCAAAGCACCAGCACCAGCAGCATCATGAACTGGAATTTTTGACGCTAGACAACTGCTCTGTACCTGCTGAAGTATTTACTCCCCTCTCTTTCAGGTGCAGAAGTTTAAAACATATGACTCTGCATGATATGTGGGTCACTGGATCTATTTGTGAAAAAACTGGATGCTTGTTACTCGATATGCCACATACTTTCCTAAAAACTCTGAACGTCTGCTATGTTCAATTCGGAGAAAGATACACATCTATAAGTGAAGATGAAGTTATCAACATGATGCTACTCTCCCAATTAAACGACGCTCCATTAACAGACAAAAATACCGACAGAGAACAAAAGGAGATGAATTCAAAGCACCCAACAGTAGCAAGTCATAATATTGATTGGCTCTTTACATTTTCTTCCAGTGAGGAATATGAGGAATACATTACAGTAACTACAAAACTTTCAAAGGAAAGAGCCAATATCGTATTTGAATACTACCAAAACTTTCAGTCCAGAAAAACCGACCCAATTTTAAAAGATAATATTCCGTACAATAGGAGAAATCCAGAGACCGCCTGGGAATACGAACTTTACAAAGGATACGGCGAATTGAGGGTTGGGAATATTGAATCTTCTCCTGTTATATGTGTAGAAAAATATGTCGAATATTAGAAAACAAGCTGTGTAATAGGCTCTTTTGAAAATAAAGTAAATTAAAAGAAAAAAAGCCTATAAAACCAATACACTAAATTTTTATTATGATTGTAAAGCGACAAGACATAAATGGATGGTGAATTAAGTCATAGACCAAGGCACGAAGTTTTAATAGCAAAATATCTAATTTCCAGCTGTCGAATTATTGATATGATAATAAGATGATAAAAGCTCTGTCTTGTACTAAATATTTAGACCTACTAGTTCACGGCGTACATTTTTTAACTCCTCCTATGTACTCTTCCTATGAACTGTGACAATTAACTTTCTATTTTGAAAGTGCATCGGTAGCTGTGCTTAGAAAACCAATTGGCATCTGCTGTTTTATTATTCCTTTCCATTTCTCCAAGTTGGTATCCTATTTTTTTGTTTTCCCTCAAGACCAAAAGGACAATTAGTTGTAAAAGTTAAATGAGCAAGCTGTTGGTTTCTCATGTGGGTCATTAGTGTAATGCTTTTATTAAAGTAAACATATAAAACCACTACAACAAATTCAATTGGTTATAACTCATTTTTTAGGGAAACCTTACGGACAGACTGGCAGGACAGGCTAACAAGATGAAATGGAAAATAAGCGCTACATCATCCATAATTACTTTTTTTTTGGTGGGGGGCATACTTTGACATTTGTTAAATGTTTCAAAAGAAAAACGCTAATACTACAGGATTGCCATTTTTTGTGGTGCATTACATTTCTATCTAACCGGACTAATTAATTCTGACATCCTCTCTTTGGCTCAATGTCCTTTTCTAATCCTTGAGGGCAAAATGATGTGTTCTGAAATTCATACAGTATATTCAATTAATATCCGTTTGCACCCTAAATTTTGACTTGACAATAAATAAATAATAATAATTAGTCAAAAATACACTATATCAATAGCCGTTTATGCAAAAGTCTATTAAGAGCTGTTGTCATAAGATTGTGACGCAATCTTGTTTGATATCTTACTATGTATTGGCCCTCTTATACGTATCATGTCTTTCTCTTTCTTTCACATATCTTATTTAAATTACTGAAAAATATACCAAGGTTTGTTATTGAAAAAAAAAGTTAGAAACAAAGCTACTTACCCTTTTCTCTAAAGGTATTGGGTCGTACTATCCTATCCTAGGCAAATGTTGTAGCAAGATGGACACAACTTGTGGTCCGGTAGAACCAAAATGTTGTCTGCTACCAGAAAATGTCGTCCCCGACTAGGAAACGCTGCCTGCGTAGGATTAGTGAATTTTTTTGAAACACTTGACTAACATCAAAGTATGACCATAAAAAAAGTGATTAAGGGTGATTTAGCACTTAATTTCTATTTTATCTTGTTAGCCTGTCCTGCCAGTCTGTCCGTAAGGTTTCCCGCTAGAAATATTATAGCTGACGACACATTAAAGTCAAACGAGAATGATTCAGAACTGACATGCTATAGAAAAGTGGCACCCCTTCTGGATATTCTACTAAAAGACTTGAACTTGAACTTGCTAAAGTAAGCAGATAACATAAAAGTCATTTTATTAACGCTGTCTCGAAATGTACTTATTTGCTTATTCCCTATAGTGGTGAAACAACATCTAAAGCTAGCAAGTCTATTGCAAAAGACCATGAAAATATCTACGGAAATAACATACCCTTAAATCGAGGCTTCGGTCGTCGTATCGATCTTTTATTGTCAACAAGAAATATTGAACTATCAACTAACGAATAGAAGCGAAAGAAAGTTACTCAAGAGCAATGCCTGATTCAGCAAGTAAAAAATATTAGAATGAACAAAGCCATTCTTAGTAGACTTCTTGAACTACCTCTTTCTGAAAATGATTCTAAAAATGTTTATACGCTTGGTATGGACTGGGTCGGTAAGTCGATTCCCTAATGTTTCTAGCACATACATACAGACATATATCTAAATATTAGGACTGTTGACTATTTAAAAAAACCATAGGCCCACGTGGTTACATGTTTGCTGTAAAGAAAATCAATGATATTTACATAGCCAAACATACCAACAACCTTTCCATACCAGAATATCTACATCAATTGCCTTCGTTTATAGCCACGCTCAAAAGCTTGTATATTTGGAAAAATCATCATACCAAGTTACAAGATACAATCTTAAAAGGAGTGATTGCAAAAGGAGACGACGACTTTTTTTAGCATCGCTGGTGGCACTGATGATGCTGGTGGTGCTTCAAAGGAACTGTCACCAAATATATATTTAACCCCTACAAAGGCTAAACAAAACAATTAAGCCTATCAAAATGATACACGAAGAAGAGAGTGTGTTGAGTTCCTTTTTCCTTTATGTACGAACAAAATGATCAAATCCTTAAAAATAAAATAGTTTTCTATAATTTTCTCTTCTAGCCATCACTTCATCGCATCATGTCTATGTTTACACTTATTTCTATAACTGCTCTAAAAGCTTTTGCCATTTAACTTCAAATGACTTACACTTCCTACAGCAATAACAGTTCAAAGAAAAGTTAGCCCTACTTAACCTTGGTGGGAACAGCACCATGCTAATGAAAGCATTTCTTCAAGTAGCTCAAAAATCCATTATAGACGACCAGAAAAAACGCTTTAATTGAGTCGTAGGAACTTGATGACCATGAAAAGAACGAAAGTGTGGAAATAAAATACAACTTGTTCGAATAGATACAATAATAGCAACAATCTTCGTGAATAGAACTGCTTTAATACGTACTACTATCTTTCTCAATAAGCTTTGAAAAGAAATACTGAAATAAAGGCTTACTTAGAGTTTGAGAGAGCTACTTTATGTATTTATCCAAAAAAACAAGTAAACATTCTTATTCATTTGTATCCACCTAGAGTGTAGTTGTAGCTTTCTCATCAACTATATAATAAACCTAAATGCCTTGACTGACTACTTGAATATTTAAGTCTAGAAGTACAATAAGAAGTCAAGAGCAAAGACGATTATGGATGTAATAAGAATGTAGATAAATTAAAGACATTTATTTAAAGCAACTAAATATAAAAAGCATACTAGGCCACTACTACTGGTTTGTCTTAAAGCGTTGTGTCTGTAAGCATAGGGAAATAATTATAAAAAGAAGGAATATAGAAAAGTGACAATATTACGGTTTTATACCTCAATTAAGTAAACAAAATAAGAAAAATAGACAAGCACCAATATGCAATCGGTTGTTTTTTGGGGGTTTTTTTTGCTTGATAACAATACTGTAAGTTTAATTTCGAGCGCAACAAGGCAAGATATAAACGGTGGATGAGCAAAGTCATAAACCAGGGCACACAGTCTAATTAATAAAATATCTAACTTTGATTTGTTCAGTTATGTACATGAAAATAATGAGGTTACTATTCTGACTTGGATTGTACATTTGAATTTGCAATTTCACAGCATAGGTTAGTGAACTCTTCTTGTGCACTCTTCAAATGTTATGTGATCATTATTCATATATTGTAAAATAGAACATCTGTAGTTGCACTCGGGAACAAGGTTGCCTTCGATTGGTTGTTATTCATTTCTATTTTCCTTAGTTTGTCTTCTTTTTTGTCCACACTTAAAAAAAGGAGAATGTGTTACAAAAACCGAATTAACAAGGTTTTACTTTGTTAGATATTCAAGGTATAATGCTTTTAATACAATTAAAAATAAAAATGCAGCAGCCTGAACTGAATATAACAATTTGATCTTGAATATATTCATACATGAGCATGCTCTTTCGACACTGCCTGTATACTAGCTGTATCCTTTATATTTGATTATTTTTGTGTAAAAAACTGACTGCGTCTTGTACATCTTTATGGTTACCTCCATGATTCATATGTAGCCAGAAATTGTAACTCACATTATCAGTTTGGCGCAGCGTTTATCCTCTTCTTCTAGATGACGACTTTAATTTTTACTGTCATATATATATATATATATCAATATAGTCGGGTTTAACCTCTCTCTATCTCTCTTTCTTTCTTTTCATAAAATTTCAACATGGAATTATCTGAACTACCATTTGAAATTCTTTTGCAAATTGCTGATAGCCTATCAACAAGAGACCGGTTGTCTTGTGCTCTAACGTGCATGGGATGGAGATACCTGTTTCAAAGCGCTCTGTGGACAAGCATACGAACTAATGACTTTTGCAACATTAAAATACTTATCGACATTATTAAAGGTTCCAAAAATACATTCGTATCATACGGTCTCTGGGTTTACAGTCTACGAATAGGTCATTATTATGTTGAGTCAAGAGCATCAGAGACACAATTTTCTGAATTAGTCAAATGCCTACCAAACCTGAAGCACCTGGATCTAGATGAAAGAAGCCATATATACTTTGACACAGACACAGCAAGATCAAACAAAAAATTGAATTCTCTGAAAAGCTTGAAAATAGGATATACGACAAACAAATATATACAGCCAACAAAAAACGTCTTGAAAACTATAAATGTATGTAGCATGCTTCAAAGATTAGAAATACACAGGTTCAGAAGGGGATTTCGCATGGATTTTAGTGTGGATGATTTTGACAACATGCACCAAAAATTGCAAAACTTATCGTCCTTTGGTGCTGAAATATATTTTAACCCTGACTTCCCAGCTACACTGGACAAAATTCCAAGTACAGCACCGGCTTTTGCTATTACATCTGTAGATATAAACTCGAAATTATATGATAGTGTAATCGGGCAAGAAACTACAAATGATAATAATTGGAATCCTTTGTGGCTGTACTATTTTGGCTACAAGTATCCAAATTTGCGTTCTCTAAAGCTACATGCCACAGATATGCGTGAGAATATAAAATATTCGAACAAGAGACAAACAATGATATCTATTTTTCAATCCAATCCAAACGCATTTCGACATCTGGAAGCATTCAGCTTGACAACCGACTGTTTTTTCGAATTTACCGACCTTATTTTGTGGGAATTGTTTTGCGCATCAAAGGTTTCTCTTAAGCACCTGGCGATAGATATAGCATATGGCTCCTATAATTACTATTCATACCCAATCGATCTTAACAGAATTTTTCAAACGTTTTCGGAAACACTCGAGAGCTTTTCGTTTACAGGGTGTATGTATGTCGGTAGTGGTCAAGAAATGAATTTAGACCTATCTTATTACTACCCGTTTTTGACGAACCTTTGCATCAGTAGCTGGCACATATCTCTTAATATCAATAATCTATTGGGCAATTGTGTATCCTTTAAACAGCTGTTATTTAGCGGTGAAAAAATTACTAACTAATACAAACACAATAACTCAAGGGTTAAAGCAACAGGAGCGGAATCTCTGCCAGCATGGACTACAAAGTTTGACGCTACAACGATGCTCTGTGCCTGCTGAAATATTCAATTACCTTTCTTTCAAGTGTAAAAGCTTGGATCATATGACTTTGAATACTATATCTGTCGATGGATCTATTTGTGAGAAAACAGGGTGTTTGTTACTTACATGTTGCATGATTTTTTAAAGACTCTGGAAATCGGCCATCTTCAATACAACATATCAAACCAAACAATTAATACAACTACTTGTAGTGTTCTGACACTCCTGTCTCAATTGTACGACGCTCCATCATTAAATGAAAAGAACAAAAAACAAAAAACGGGGATGGATTCGAAGTACCCTATAGTAGCAAGACACAATCTCAAATGGTTCTATAAGTATTGGCCTCTTGAATGCTATGTTGATTACAACATGGGAGCTTTAAAGCTTTCAAAGGAAGGAACCGATACCGCACTTGAATACTATCAAAAATTCCATTTGAACAAAGCCAGCAAGGTTTTAAAAGACAACAGATTTTATTACGGGCATGTCCCCTTAGTTAAAAGGAAATGCGAACTTAACAGAGGATACGCAGAATTGAGATTCGGCAAGATTGAAACACCTCCTGTTATATGTCCAACAAAGTATTACTTTAGTAGAGAATAATATAATACAGTATAAACAATGTATAAAATAAAGCAACGTCTGACGGTGTGTATGCTTTGAATATGTATAAATGATTTTGAATGTGAGGCACAGTTTGTCTAAATATCCAAATGTCTAAATGTATAATTGCATAGATATGATATTTAGTCATCGTATGATGATCACGCAGGTACCTATAATCTGACCATACAAGGATCTAACATAAGGTCAATATAAGGCGAGCGTGGTTCCTTTTTATATACGCAATCCTGTTCAACCAATACCATATAGAGCGCAAGCTGGTTGTAAAGGTGTATACTTTGTGACACTAATGGAAAAATCGGTATTTTCATTCCACACATTGCCCTCAAAAGTTAGGGAAATGACTGACCGACAAGTATTGGTCTACATAAGGTAAACCGATTAATTTTTTACCTACATTGCTGGCATATAAGATTCTCGTTCTGAGGCAAATATATCCATTTCTATATATATATATATATATATATATACGTAGAAGGATATATGATTTAGTAACTAAAGTTAAAAAAGAGTAAATACAATGAAATGGAGCTACTTTTGAGTAGGCAACTTTCGAAAATTTTAATATTCATCTAAGATGCTGTGAGCCAAGACGAGTAAGAAAAGGATATGAGCAAGAGCTTTCTTTCGTATGTTATAGACATGTGTCTGAAGAACAAAGACAAAAATTCTATACTTTAATACAATAACAACGCCATAAATCATACCGGCTTTTATGCATATCTGTGGAAAAATTCTTACCAAATCAATGGCTTTGAGTATTATGACCAACTCAAAACTCACGCTACAGCCATATTAAACATATTTATCTGAATTTTGAAACGTAAGTTTAGTGAACAAAGAACATACATAGACATTATAGGGAAGTCTGAAAGGTTTAAATTCAATAAGAGTAGTAGACAATAGGTAACAGATCTTCTTCGTTTTTTTTAACGGGAAATATAACAAGTCCGGATTTATCTTATACACTTTAGAAAACCTCCTATAATAGTATCAGAAATATCGACTAGAGAATTTTATTATATAATAGGGGGTTTCAACAGTTCTTTAAGCTTTAAAGCAGTAACCAATAATACGTAAGAGTTACTAAGTGTTTTTGAGTACCCTAAATGATTCTTTCAATTCTATTAGGCATTGTGATAATATAATATAAATTTAAAATAGTATTGAAAGAGACAAAGATATTTGCATCAAGGATTTATTAAATTTCCAAAAAAAAATTAAATTTAAGCAAGGACGTATTATCCATATTCGGATAGTAATACTTTTATAAATGTTAAACTTTTCATTCGTTTAGATACCAAAACAACCTTGATGACCCAAGTTATATACTTTTTCAGCCAATTGGTTTCATGTATTCAGTACCAATTCTTTGATTGTATACTTTTTTTTTTACCAAAAATCAAAGGACCGGGATTTTATTTGTGCTTCTTTTGTTACAGCTATAATTTATCTTGCCTTTTAGAATATATATATAAATACATACTTAGGTGTAAAGCTATATTGAAATACTCACAATATAATTGAGAGTATATATATATACTAGAGAGGGTGTGGACTGGTAAAAACCTTTTCCGACATGAGATTTTTCTGCGTCGGTAAAAGTCTTGCTACAAGTCCATATGACTTTTTAAAACAACGCCGCCAAATGCCTCGGTTTGAGAGGCCAGAATACTGTGAGGGTACCATATGACTGCTTAATGACTTTCCATATCTCCCGGAGAAAGGCGCATATATATTTATATTTTTTTAAAAAAAAGGTTAAATTGGTTTCGATTGACATTCTCCAGAAGTCTTAATTACACTCATTCTAATACAAATAAAGATTATCAATTTTCATTAAATGGGTATCAAATTATCTCCTGCTGGAAGAAGGTAAAAAGACAAAAAGAAGAACAAGAGAAGAAAGCAATGACACAATAAAATTATATACCTGGATTCCACAAATACATTCATTTTACCATTACCATTCATTACCTTTTTTTTATTGTGAATGTATTGTAGGCTCACAACTGTCATTGTAGCCGCACCAATTATGGTGGCTACCACTTGGATTCTTTACAAGAGACGTAAGTTATACGAAAAGCTTTTATTAACTTTTTTTTGTAAAAAAAAAAAAGAGAAATGATTTTAAAATATTAATACACATAATTTACTGTTATATACAAGTTGTCTTGGGTGAAGAGAGACGTGTCTCTGATGGGCGTGCTATTCGTCCTATGGGTGTAAGAGAAAGAGACGCAAAGGATCAATTGAATTAAAGAGGACTTTATATATATATATATAATAAGATAACGTATATATCCATATTTAAACATAGAATTATGAAAACCAAACATAAATTTGACGTATTAACATATACATATGTATCTAAAGGAAGGAATTACTTGTGTATGTGTATGTATTGTTATTATTTTTATTATTATTATTATTGATTTTTCTCTCTTGAAAACAATGAAAAAAAAGAGAGCATTAATCTATTTAAGTTTTGCAAACAGAACATCCGGCAATTCATTGAGTGTTCTTAGTTTTGGTGTAGCACTAATCTTAGCATGAGCCAAAGTACGTTCATTCTTTGGTACACCAAGGCGTGTCAAAAGAGAATCCATCTTAGTAGGCATCACTGGTTGAAGCAAAATGCCAGTAATACGACATGCTTCTGTAGCATAAAACAATGTAGCATCAAGACGAGCCTTGTTAGCTTCATCCTTTACAAGTTCCCACGGAGCATTTTGTGTAAAATGTCTGTTGGCCTAATAAAACAACAACAGTAACAAGAGAAAGTTTAATGCATTGTTTTCAAATATGTATATATATACACACATTAAATATAATACAATAAAGAAAAAGAAAAACTTACTTCTGTCAAAGCATCAAAAACAGCATTGAACCCCTTGTTAAACTCACGCTCATCAAATGCCTTTTCAAAAGTGGCTGTACAAAGAAGCAATGATAAGTTATGTATGTACATTTGGTTGTAATGTTATTAAAAAGAAGACGCATATATATATATATATATATATAGATTCTTTTATCTTTACCTGAAAGTGACTCTAACTCGGTGTGCAAAAGAGAGTCTTTGGGATCAATCTCTCCCGATGGTTGGCTAGGAATAACACCCAAAGGCATCAGGATTTTTCCTGTACTGCGGGACAATAGGTTTCCTAATTGACCGGCCAGATCCTTTTTATATCTTGTTTTGATCATATCTTCAGAATAGTCTAAGGAACACAAATAAGGTAAAGGAATTGATTTCAATAAAGCAGGCTAAATAAGCATTTTGTATATATTTGTTTTTTTTACCACCGTCGTCAGCCAATCCACCGTCTCTCATCAAATAATAGCGAACAGAATCAACACCATAGATCTTCATAGCCTCAAAAGGATCGGCTACATTTCCTTTACTCTTTGACATCTTTTGTTTTCCCATAGTCCAATGAGCATGAGCCAAGATTTGTTTGGGAAGGGGCAAGTTAGCAGCCATCAAGAAGGCAGGCCAGTAAATAGCATGGAATCTAAAAGAATAGTAATAATAATAGTGTGTTTGATTTCTCTCTCTCTTTAGCTTACGAATATTTTCACTATTGTAACCGACATATTATATGGATATGGATATCTTACCTAACAATATCCTTTCCTACTACATGTACATCAGCAGGCCAGAAATCCTTGGTCTTACTGTCCTTTGGCCAGGGGTATCCAGTCGCAGTAAGATAGTTGGTTAGGGCATCGAGCCATACATAGATGGTGTGCTCTGGATCATTGGGAACTTGAATTCCCCAATCTAAACGAGATCGAAGACGAGATACAGATAGATCTGCAAGACCAGCCTTAATCCAAGACACGACCTCATTTTTACGGTTATTAGGGACAATAGCTAAAATTAATAATAATGTTATTACCGATATTATACAAATCATTTACTGTATATATGTATATCAATTACCTGTAGGATTCTCATCAATCCAAGTCAAAAGTTTGTCTTGGAATTCAGACAATTTAAATTTGTAGTTCTCCTCTGTTGTCCATTCTACACGCTGGCCAGACTCGATAGCAACCTAAAACAACATCAGCAAAAATCTTAGCAATTGTAACCTTTCTCTTTGTCTTATTGAATACAAATCCATCAATAGTTGATCCTCCACTTACCATGGTCTTTTCACCAGTCTTACTATCTTCTACTTCGTGAACCTGGTTACTGGCATAGAATGCCTCATCAGAGACAGCATACCATCCCTCATGTTTGCCTTTGTAAATATATCCATTTTTAAGCAATACACCCTAATTTTATTCATTAATTTAATATTTTTTTTTTACCATTCCCAAAAAACAAGCAAACATATAGTTTAATACATGTTTGTATATACATACTACTTATATTAATCTGACTTACCCACAGTTCTTTAACCGCCTCTGCATGTCTTTTTTCAGTCGTTCTTATAAAAGTAGTATAATCAATATTGGCCTCATCACAAAGACTCTATTTTATTTTTATAATAAAAAGAAATTGTAGTGTAAATGAGCTGTCAATCAAGTAGCACAAAGATTTATACACCTTTTTTTTAGTACTTTTAGTTTTTCTTCTTCTTCTTTACCTTGAAGCTTTCTGATACACGATCGCAGAAAGCAAGAGGGTCAGTCTTGTTCTTCTCAGCTGCTTGCTGGATCTAAATAATATCAATTGCCACCCACATAAAAAAGAAATAATAAAAAAAAAGTATTCACAAATATATCATATATAATTATTAGTCAAAAAGGAATATCAATCATTTGAATGAAATCAGGTACAAAATAAATGAATAAATAAAGAAGACAGCCAGTTTTTTTTGCTTTGTTTTGTTTTCTACCTTGAGACCATGCTCGTCTGTGCCTGTACACAAATTTGTCTGAGCACCCTTTAAAGCATAGTAGCGTGTAATGGTGTCAGCCAATACCGATGAATACAAATGTCCAATATGAGGAACTGTAACCAAAAATAAAGAAGAAGAAGAAAAAAAAGGGAAAGTGGAATCGAGTAAGTGACATGTAAACCAATACTATTTTTTTTTGTTGTTGTTTTAAAAAAGTTTAAAAGGCTTGCCTGCATTCACATAGTAAATGGGAGTTGTAATGTAGGCCTTTGTGTGATTTGCTCGTCCGAGAGAAAATTGACCGAGAACCTGGCGTTTAAGGCTGATTCCAAAAGGCAATCGTGCTGATCGCCACAGAATTTGCATCGTGGAAATAGAATGATTATTTCTTTATCTTTATCTTCCTCTCTTTTTGCATAGAATTTTACAACCCGGTCGAAAATCTAATATTTTTTATTTTATTTTATTTTATTTTATTTTATTTTATTTTATTTATTTTAATTTCTTTTGCCAGGCCCATGGATTTTTAAAGCCAAAAACCTAAAAACCAAAAATAGGGCAAAACTGTATTATGGCCTTGTGCCCCCCAATACACTCCGACAGTTTTTTCTTAAAAAAAAAGTGCTACTTTCCCCAGAAACTTACACCTTATTTGCTTGTTCTTTTGCAAAAGCTTTTCTTCTTACAACTCAATCGCTCGGGTCATCAAGAAATAAAGCTAACTCAAAGTGTATGTCCAAGACGAAAGCTACCAGAGCTCGATTGTTACAGCTTTATTGGGCTCTATAAACCAAATAATACATGCTCAGCTCTGATTGCAAACCACATGAGCATTCCTTAGACAACCATCAAAAGCATTTTAAGCGTCAAGAAACTACTTTGAAAAACCAAACCAAGGAAAGGCCCGGACCTAAACCCAATTTAATGCTGAATATTTTCAAGGCTTATATTGTTTAGAATTGGAAAGCAACTTAATCAAAACGTTTTGGACACTCTGGTGTCAAGTATACCCGATAGAGTCAAAGCCAGGATTAAGACTCATAGTAAGCACTGCGTATATTGAAATTTTACCCCTTTTTTTCTACAATGTATATACATACTATTTGGTCATCTTCCTGAGAAGCTATAGCATAACGAAGTTGATGTATGATTTATTAGGAAGTAGAAATTAAAAGTCTCGTCGATAATTTCGTACGTGGGAGTGTTGTAATTATTTCTCTCTCCAAAAAATATAAAAGTTATTATGATCGAAGGGAGTCTCTCAATTATATATATATATATATCCTTGATAATATAAAACGACACAATGCTATTGAAGGTGCTAGGACAGATAGTCAGGACAAGGCCTACAAAAACAAACCTTATCTCTACTTTCTTCCTGGAGAGATTAAATATCATATGTGTATTACAGGAAAGGATGGAACCGGGCTGTTTAATAAGTGAAAGTAAGAAAAAAGAGGTATGTTAATATTAATATTTTCTTATTAAAAAAGAAAAAATTCAGTACGCACTCACTATTGTGTCAATAGTGATCTTATGTTAGATGCTTGTATGGTCAGATTATTTATACTTGTAAGATAATCAAACGGTGACTAAGTATCATATTTATGTAATTATACATTCTTATTAAAATAAGCCACTTCTCTTATTTACTTGTTTATTCTTTAGATTGCTTATGGAAACTAATCATGGTTGCTACTGTCGCTGATAGTATTCTTTTGAGTCTTTCTCTCTCAAACAAAGCATTAGAAGGAAAATAAAAGTTAGCGAATCAAGATGCTATAACTATGTAATATGTTAATAGCGTGTGTTTGTGTGCGTGTGTTCCTCTCAATGTATGGCTTGCACTCAAAATAATTTATACATATTCAAAGCATACACACCGTCAGACGTTGCTTTATTTTATACATTGTTTATACTGTATTATATTATTCTCTACTAAATTAATACTTTGTTGGACATATAACAGGAGATGTTTCAATCTTGCCGAATCTCAATTCTGCGTATCCTCTGTTAAGTTCGCATTTCCTTTTAACTAAGGGGACATGCCCGTAATAAAATCTGTTGTCTTTTAAAACCTTGCTGGCTTTGTTCAAATGGAATTTTTGATAGTATTCAAGTGCGGTATCGGTTCCTTCCTTTGAAAGCTTTAAAGCTCCCATGTTGTAATCAACATAGCATTCAAGAGGCCAATACTTATAGAACCATTTGAGATTGTGTCTTGCTACTATAGGGTACTTCGAATCCATCCCCGTTTTTTGTTTTTTGTTCTTTTCATTTAATGATGGAGCGTCGTACAATTGAGACAGGAGTGTCAGAACACTACAAGTAGTTGTATTAATTGTTTGGTTTGATATGTTGTATTGAAGATGGCCGATTTCCAGAGTCTTTAAAAAATCATGCAACATGTAAGTAACAAACACCCTGTTTTCTCACAAATAGATCCATCGACAGATATAGTATTCAAAGTCATATGATCCAAGCTTTTACACTTGAAAGAAAGGTAATTGAATATTTCAGCAGGCACAGAGCATCGTTGTAGCGTCAAACTTTGTAGTCCATGCTGGCAGAGATTCCGCTCCTGTTGCTTTAACCCTTGAGTTATTGTGTTTGTATTAGTTAGTAATTTTTTCACCGCTAAATAACAGCTGTTTAAAGGATACACAATTGCCCAATAGATTATTGATATTAAGAGATATGTGCCAGCTACTGATGCAAAGGTTCGTCAAAAA